TTCGAGATATCTTCCTTTTTTTGTTAATTAGGCTGGTTGGGTGAAGGCTTGTGTAACAGTAGTTTGATTTATTCCATATATTGTGTGAACCTGAATTTAAATATACTTAAATACGCCGAAATGTTAATTTTCTGTGCTTTGGTAAGGGGTATAATCTTCAGTATATTTTTTTTTTTTATATTATATATTACAATTTCCTGATACTAGTAGAACCAGTATGGCGACAACACAAGCTTCCAAGGTGACTGCAAGGCAAATGTCACTTAATCTAGGATCATGAAATATTTTGTGGTTTATACACAGTATAAACCACACAATATATGTATAACAGTATGGTTCCTTCAATTGAAATATGCTTAAATATGAAAAAAAAACTTTAATTTTAAATGGGTATGGGTATGGAAAGTATAACATATTGTATAAAGAAGATGTTTTACCATTTATTATTTTTGTCCGTGGGAGATGGCGTTAAATGTTGGCCTCAGTGTATCAGTCAGTAACATGCAGGACCAGAAAGTAAATATGGAAGGAAGCAGGGGAAGCTAATATTATTGAAGCTTATATAACAAATGGTGAGGCTTCCCATTGAATTCTTGACAGATGTTACAATAGTTTTATTTTAAAGAGACTGTCTCCAGCCCACACTTGTAACTACTCGTACATCTTCAGGAATTGAATGTGCAAAAGCAAAAATTGACATATATATTTTAAATAGTATTTTTCTCATATAAGAAGTTGAAAAAAAAAAAAAGAGCAGACATTGAAATCTGTAGATTATGATCCTTCATTACAGTTATCGAGACGGACCGCCCTCCACCCATCACTCGCACCATCATACCAGTGTTCTCTCATCTTTGGCAACATCATATGCATGTGATGACCTCAGCTATTATGATGACATGGCCAGGAACTTGGATGCAAATTTAGCTGAAGTAGACATGGAAGACTTCCGCACCGAGGATATCCATTCAATCCTCACCACACTACCAACCATGTGCTGTGGAGAACTACAGGTACTGGTTCTCTGTTATGTAGTGTGTGAGCTTCAGGCATGATAAACAAATGCATTACAAGGGATGGTTTAAACACTGTGACTTGTGAACTAATGTGTATCTTCTGTACCACATGCCAGTTTGATGCAAAGGTCTCTCTTACACTTGTATCCCTTTCTTCTAAATGTTATAGGGTTTTTGAACAGCTGAGAATACAGCTACCAATTATGTAGATGTTTTTAACTCTTTGAAGTCTGTCCATATGATCATGTACTTATCAGTGTGCTGTTGCATTACACAAAAGAACCTCGACTTAGGAATTCTTGGATCCTCTGTTGGTATGAAATGGAGCACTCGGTTACAGGTGAATAAAATGTGAATCACATCACATTTCTTTAGATAAGTTCATTGCAGTGAGATATAGGACTGAGAAGAAGTAATTCAATATTACCCATAGTAGGCCATGTCAGATTATTCCAAAATCAAATCAGGTAGTCATATTCAAAGACCTAGATATGGGTGAGACAGATTAAACATTCATAAATCCATCAAGATATTAAAAATAATAACAACTCTGCCTTCATAAGTGCAAAGTGAAATGAAGCCCATGTTTGGAAGTGGACTGGGATGCACAGCAGGTGCTGATGCTAGAGGTAAGACAGAACTAAAAGTAGACTGGTATCCACCAGATGTACTGCATACCAGATAGCTACAAGCAAGCCAGATGTTGTCTGAACTGTCTTTACTCCATCCTAGGGAAAATACTTGGAAGGATTGTGAATTCATATTTGTATCCCTTTTATTAATGAGAATTTGTTGTTTGACAGTCTGAACGTGAAGGTGAGATGTTCGCGAGTGTCTCGGGTTCCATGATGGCCAAGTTTGACTTTGACTCCTCTATAAGCCCTCACACCAGCTCTCAAGTATGTGCCTGAGCAATTCTTTTTCTTATACTTGTAAATATGTAGTTTTGTATGAACGAATGTGCCAGACTTACTGGTTAAAAATGGTTTCTTGTCATTGCCATGTCACAAAAAAGTTCCAAAAGATTATTTAGTCGAAACTGGACAGGTTTTATCTGAATACTTTGGTGTCCCCTTCAGTTCTCATTTTACTAAATGCTTCAGATCTCCCATATGTCGTCTGGGGCTGACAATGGACCACCTAGAGCATGAGTACCATTTGACTTAATCTCGTCCTGTCATAAAGAGTTGAATTGAAGAAAGATTATTTAGCTGTAAACGATTCAATAAGGGCCAGAGAAGAAATAATTGTCATAGCCAGTGATGAATAAAGAGTATTATCTTCAAAATATTCCTTCCTTCTTTTGGAAGGTTTTCTTATAACTGTTGAAGTGATGGAAGTTTTCAAATATGAACAATTTAAATCTTTAAACCTGAGCTGGCATGTGTTGCCAGCCTTTCAAAGTTGCCTGGTTCCAAACTTATCTTCTGCTTACCCTGAAAATGTTCAAATTAAGTGACCTCATGACTAGCATTTAACTAAAACCTGATCTGTAAAATTACCCACTAATTGTAGCACTGTATGTATGGTTACCATGTTTGAAGAAACCCTGTGTAAGTTCAAGAAGCAGAAATACAAATTTAATGTTGCATGTGAGCTTTGGGTATTATGGGATGAGGGTTCTAGTTTATAATTTATGAAAATTTGTGTATGGAACATTTAATATGAAGTCTTCTTATTATCGTTTGAACTGACTGAACTGCATGATATCCAATAGGTACATACAGCTCTAACTCCAGAGGTGAAGCAGCCTGCTCATGAAACTGATTATTTTCATTCTCAAGCGCTGGAGATGAGAACGCACTGAATTGTACTCCATTCCATCCCTATCTTCAAAGTGCTATGCTTAATTAAGTATAGGGGCAGCATATTTGCCTTTGCTCAGTCAAATTCTGCTTAGTTAAAGTAATTCTGTAGAGAAAAACAACAGATGGTTATTACTGTAGGTATTTAGAATAAGTATTTTATGATTTTATTTTATTTCTTATTTTATTTATTTATTTTTTTGTGCTTTTTTATATATGTGATGAAGCACCAGTGATGAGGTTAGTTCTTTCTAATAGACCCAACAGTGTGTCTCCCACTCTTTTACCTAAGGGAAGAAATGGATCCAGTTTCCAAAACACTGTGTTCCTTAGTGTCTTTGCTGGATGGTGGACAAACTCCAAAAACCCAGTAATTCTGACTGGTTATCTCTGAAGTTAGTCCCTATTCTTTTTACGACTCTTCAACTTCATGCATGTTCATAGTGCACAAAGTATGAATTTAAATTCATGTGTATATGATTAAAATATTTTGTATAAAATACCAATATTTTATCTAGGATAAGTGGCATATTGCTTCAATTCTGTATGCCAGTATATCCTCCTCAGAAAAATAGTTTTGTTAGTGTGAAACTGTAACAAAACAGCTTTCATTCTGTAATATGTACACTAGAAGCAAGTAGTTGATTTGTAAGTTCATGTATGTTATATTTTTTCCTAATTCCTGCACTCTCATGACTAGGGAGAAGATTCTGCAGGCTCTACTGACACCATGTCCATCTGCAAGTCTGAGCTTCTGTTCTCACCAGTGAAGGAATGTCCTCTCCCATCCACCAACTTCAGTGTTGACTCTCTGGACTGTGACCTTCTGACAGAACATGATATCATGCTCACCTGTCAGGCTAATAAGGACAACTACACCATTGCTTTTGAAGGCAGCATGACACTTTATTCTGAAGATTCAGACTACCATGAAGCAGGTATGAGGGAACCCGTTCTTTTTCTCCCAAATAATTGGCTATAAGAAGTGTATTGAAAAGTTCCTGGACTAGGTAAAAAAAGAAATGTTGACTAAACTTACTCAATTTTGGCTGCCGTCTCCTTCAAAATGGTCTCCTCAGGAATATATACAGCAATCCCATCATTTTTTCCACTCTTAAAAAGCACTGTGCAAGTCATTGTCCTTAATGCTGTTGAGTACCAGTTGAGACTCCCTTTGGATGTCAGACTCAGTTTCATTTTCAGTTTGGGAAACAAAGCAAAATCACAGGGGGCTAAGTCCAGCAAGTAGGGAGGATGAGGAACGATAACCATGTTGTTAGTCACAAATTACTTGGTTTTCAGGGACATGTGGGCAGGCTTGTCATGATGAAGGAGCAGTGCAGTGCATGTTCAAATTTTCTGTTAAGATCTGGCAAACTCCATAACTGATCCCAGCGGTGTCTGTGAGCTCATGGATTGTTCGGTGATGGTCTTCGTGGATGAATTCTCGAATTTTTTTCAACATTTACTGTCGGTTTGCTGGTGCTTGGTCGCCCTGAACGTTCTTCATCTTCAAGTGACACTCAACCAGACTTGAAACATGAATGCCATTCACAATCTGCTGTCCGGCCTAAAGAATGTTCTCCAAAAGCTTCACAGAGCATTTAAGGGGTTTTGATAGCAGATTTATCAAGCATCACACAAAACTTTATGCAGACATGTTGCTCAATTTTGCCATCCATCACAGACAAAATGAAAGAAGAAGTTGAAAAAGCACCCATGTAAAAACAATACGTATTCGCAGTGAGGTGTCACAGGGCAGACTGATGCAGTATGCTTGTGGAAGTGTGACCTTGGCCTCCCCTCTCATCTTCTTTCACTGAGGCAGTTACAAGAGTAACTTACAGCAAGAACTTTCCAATACCACCAAGTAATCCTGAAGTTACAATTGTTGATTCCTTTGATTTTTCTTATGTATGTAATGGTAAAGTGACTTTCATGCAACCATGTACACAGATGTAATATCTGGTCATAATAGTATTTATCTAAAGTGTTGTTACTGATTTGGTACGTGGAATGTTCGAAGTATGTACAGGGCAGGTTCGCTCAGGGTAGTGGCGGAGGAAATCTTAAAATATATGTTGGATTTAGCAGGGGGAACAGGAGGTCAGATGGGACGGAGGTGGCATCGCACCAGAAGGCGAATATACATTTTTCTATGGGAAGGGGAATGAAAATCATGAATTAGGTACGGGTTTTTTTCGTACATAAGAGAATCGTATCAGCAGTTAAGAGGGTAGAGTTCGTTAGTGACAGGATATCATATACATAATACGTTAATATAGTATAATACTAAAAGGTCACTGGTGTGATATCATCATTATGAATGTTCACACCCCAACAGAAGATAAAACTGATGACATAAAGGACAGGTTCTAGACAGAACTAGAACATGTATTTGATAAATTCCTGAAGAACCCTATGTAAATTTTGCTAGGAGATTTCAATACCAAAATAGGGAGGGAAGACATTTTCAAACCAATGATTGGGAATGATAGTTGGTGGTGGCAGAGGTTAGGGAAAGACTGGCAGTGAGCAAACAAACAACGCACAGAGTTCATATGGAGAGGTTCAATCTCAAGAAATTAAATGAGGTAGAGGGTAAAGAGCAGTATTGTGTTGAAATCTCAAATAGGTTCACAGCCTTGGAAAACTTGGACACTAAGATGGATGTTAATAAAGCTTGGAAAACTGTTGGAGAGAATATCAGAATTTCTGTCAAGGAGGGTCTAGGTTATTATGAACTGAAGGAGCATAAGCCATGGTTCGATGAAGGATGATCCAAATTGCAGTGGTTATAGGAGCCAAGAGAAATAAATAGAGATAATGTGAACAATATAAGATGTGGAACCAGCAGGCATTTCAGGAATAAAAAGAGGGAATATCTGAAAGACAAAATTGATGAGAACAAGAACAAGAACATTAAGAGGCCTGTGGAGAGGAATAAATGACTTTAAGAGGGGTTACCAGCCNAGCTGTCCCTGTAACAGACCGTGAAGGCCCATAGGGTTGTGAAATGTTGAGGGTCCCACATTATATAGACAATTGGCTCAAAGATGGCGGTAAGTTTTTTAACACTACGCGCTGGCTGTGCTTTACTCCCCAGGAAAATTATATATTTAATTCCTGGTACTCATTTCTGTTAGAGCCTGAGTTGACCCCAGGGCCATAGTGCAGCTGGAAGGATTAGGTCAATTGAAAGAAATCCAATGACCTCATCGGGACTTGAACCCGCGACCTTCCAGTTTGTAGCATAGTGCCTCAACCAACTATGCTACCAGGAAAAATTTCCTGATCAGTGGAAGGACTCTATTATTGTGCCAGTTCACAAGAAGGTTGATAAAACTGACTGTAGTAATTATTGGGAGATATCACCGCTATCAACTTCATTCAAAATTTTATCCAATATTCTTCTCCCAAGGTTAAGTCCATACACCGATGAAATTATTGGGGATCATCAGTGTGGCTTTTGACTTAACAGATCAACTACAGATCAGATCTTTTGCATTCGTCAGATATTGGAGAAAAAATGGGAGCACAATGAGACAGTACACCAGCTATTAGTAGACTTCAGGAAAGCCTATGATGCAGTTAGGAGGGAAGTATTGTACAATATTCTGATACAATTTGGGATACCCATGAAACTAGTTAGGTGGATTAAAATGTGTTTAAAGGAAACTTATAGTAAAGTCTGTATAAGTAAACATTTGTCTGACAAATTTCCTATCCAGAATTGTCTAAGACAAGGAGATGCTTTATTGCCATTCCTTGTCAATCTTGCTTTAGAACAGGGGTCTCCAAACTTTTCGAACCGCGGGCCACATTAGATAATTCAGCACTTTCAGTGGGCCAGATAAAATGAGAAATTAAAAACTAGGTATATGAGTTTTATTGAAAGCACAGAATTTCATAAACTAAATACAAAATACGTGAGAATAAATTATCGTATATTAATGACAACAGACTGTAGCAGCAAATGCTCATATTTTCATCACAAATTATTATAAAAGAATTAATGTGAATGACGGAACTCTTTTTGCATTCTTAAAGTCTGATTAAATTGAGGTTCAAATTTCGAAACGCTAGTCACAAGTAGCGACTTTAAATGTTCATCGGATAAATTTGCCCTGTATTTCCACTTGATGTACTTCATCTGGGAAAAAGCTTGTTCACACAGATTTGTCGTCCCAGAAATGGAGATAAATTTACAAGCAAATTTCTTTAAATTTGGAAATTACTCAGAGTTCAGAAATTTGTAAAATTCGATCAAATTTCCTTCCTTGTATTTGTCTTTAATATGATAATGTTTAAATACTTTTATAAAGACATATAAAGGCAACCAATACAATAGATTAGCATAATTAGGGCACCTGATGATGGCACTATGTTGCCGAAACATGTCGTGAAGTAACAGGTGAAATTGAGTGCACTACAAGACGGCCACTGTATACATATCATGGATGAAAATCAGTGCAACAGGACGCTAAAATACATCATTTTCCTGAAGTTCAATAATTTCCATTTGAATTTGACTTGGGACATCTGCAGCATCACAGTCAAACGGATTTTGAAACAATCTAATTTCCTGAGCACTGGAATCCAAATCAGCAAATCGCTTCCGAAATTGTTCTTTCAAATCTGAAATGACTAAATTTGCACACAAGGAAGGAAATTCTGCTTCACCCTTTTTATGCAACTCTGCACAGTATAGCATATGAACAAAGTTACAGTTTTTCACTTGGCTTTCCAGAAGTATCAGCTTTGCTCTGAATGCCTTGATAAGTGCAAATAAATCACAGACAAAGTTATTTTCATCCTGCAACTTTAAATTCAAATGGTTCATATGATTCACCAGATCAGCAAAAAATGCTTATTTCCAAAGCCACTCGATATCTGATAAAAGTGGTTCGTGATGGTTTTTCTCGGTAAGAAATATATCAGTTTCATTCCTGAGCTGAAAGAAGTGCGAAATACCTTTCCACAGCTAAGCCATCGAACTGCAGTACAATATGTCAGGTCAGTAAGCTTGGAATCACATTAACAGTACTCATTGGAAAATTAGTTCAATTGGCGCATTTCTGCACAATTCTTTCACGGGCTGGATGTGGTGGCCTGCAGGCTGTAGTTTGGAGACCCTTGCTTTAGAATATGCCATTAGGAAGGTCCAGGAAAACCAGATTGAACTGAAATTAAATGGGACACATCAGCTGTTGGTATATTCTGATGATGTGAATCTGCTGGGTGATAATACAGATACCGTAAAGAGAAACACACAGACTTTAATTGACGCCAGTAAGGAAGTTGGTCTAGAAGTAAACACAGAGAAAATTAAGTATATGTTGCTGTTTCATCACCAAAATGGAGTGCGAAATCATGACATCGATAGAAAATAGATGTTTTGAAAATGTGGCACAGTTCAGATATTTGGGAATGACGATAACAAATCAAAACCTGATTCAGTAGGAAATTAAGAGGAGATTGAACTCAGGTAATGCTTGTTACCATTCAGTCCAGAACCTTTTGTCTTCTCATCTGCTGTCCAAAAACATAAAAATTAGAATATACAAAACTACTGTATAATTTTGCCTGTGGTTCTGTATGGCTATTAAACTTGGTCTCTGACATTAAGGGAAGAACGTAGACTGAGGGTGTTTGAGAACAGGGTGTTGAGGAGAATATTTGGACCAAAGAGAGATAAAGTGACAAGAGTTTGGAAAAAACTGCATAATGAGGAGCTTCAATACTTTTTCACTTCTCCAAGTATAATTAGAATAATCAAATCAAGGAGGATGAGGTGGGCACAGCATGTAGCATGAGTGGGGGAGAAGGAGACTAACTAGGAAGACCAAGGGATAGGTTGGTGGACAATATTAGAATGGATTTCAGAGAGATGAGGTGGGATGGTGTTGATTGGATTGATCTGGCTCAGGATATGGATCAGTAGAGGGCTTTTGCGAACATGGTAATGAAACTTCTGGTTCCATAGAATGCTGGGAAATTCTTGAGTAGCTGCACAATTTGGCAGCTTCTCAAGAAGGGCTCAGCTCCATAAGTAAGTTATTACTGATGTCAGAATGTCCCTTCATATTATGTCATTACAGTTCATTTGCGTTTGTTTTCCAGGCTTTATTCCTAATGAAAAATAATGTAGTATATGAAAACTTAGAGGAATTGGAGCATATGGTTATGGACCATACAGTTTCTTTGTCTGTTTATTGCCTTTAAACATAGTCCTCTTTGATTTGTTTGTTGTTGGAATCACTGTTCTGTAATTAAACGAATCAGATAACTAAGTTTCATGTTTAGATACAGCATTAGTGGACATTGTGTGTGTCATAAAGTACATAAGTTTCAGAATTCTGTGCATTTCCTGCAGGTGGGAGTGAGGCTACAACATCTGGGAGCAACAACTGGTCAAGTACCCGATTTGTCAAGCCATCAAGTGGACGAGGTGGAGGGGGTAGTCATCCATTGGACACATCAATGGCACGTTCAGATTCTGTCTATACAACATGGAGTAAATTGAAGAAACGTTCAAGTGAAGTACAGTTGACACGTCACCCATCTGGCAATAACAACACTACTTACCCTGAAGGAGCATGTATTCAGAGTTTCCAGCCTGTGGATGCCACAGCGCTGAAGAGCCAAAGTATGCCCAACCTGTCACAACGACGGCGCAGGTGTCTGTTAGCTTCTGTGAGCAGCAAACTCAGCAGTGCTTTGAGTTCATCAATGGAGTCTGAAACAAGGACAAGGCTCCCAAGTATAGGGGGTTGCATGAAGTTGTATGATGTTCAGCACCACCATAACAGCAGCAGTCTCCTTTCAGCACACTCAGAAACGAACAGCTCAGTGGATGGTGCCAGCAGCTGCAGTGGGGGAGGTGGCCGGAAGCAACATAACTTCAGCCTTGTCAAACTGTTCATGAAACAGAAGAGTGTAAGTAATGAGGGGATGTGTTATGCTATGGACCAGTCATATGCCAGTGAATGCTGGCCAGCTTCTAACAACAGTCAGTCAGAAGGAGAAAGTGATTCATACAACCAAGACTCCACGAGACAAAGATCTTGTCCTGTGATCAACACTGCAGCACCTGCCAGCATTCTGAATGCGGCTCTTGGTCTACATGGTGCAGGAAACCGTGAGGATGGTGCTTGTGGTTGTCTTAATGATTGCCGTTGTGAACTGCATGATACAGAAAATTCCTGTGACAATGGTAATAAAACCAGAGCAGATTATGGAGCTGAAAATGGAAATGATCATAAGACAACAGCTGATACTCTGGATGGAGCAACCAACAACTGGATCCGGGGAGATGATGCTGCCACTGACTATTCCACTTGCTGCTTTGAGGACAGCCTGGTGGAACCTAGCAGGAAGGAAGACTCTTATATGCATAGACAGCATGAGCTTATTGAGGAGGAGGAGGAACATGCATCTGACAGGTCAGAATCAGTTGAACAGTTATCAGAGAGTGTCTCAAAGATCGAAGAGTCCACTCTGGATATAGGAATAAACAGCTGTAATAGTGACCAGCAGGAAGAGCAATGTTCAAACTCTAGTCATACCAATACGTACAAGTTATTAAAACCAAAGTGTAGTAGTAGCATTGCAAAGAACGTAACAATGTTCAATATAAATAACAATAACAGTATTGAGAAGGAAGACATACAGATTCTTCAGAGAAAGAGGCAGGAGAAAGGGCAGAGCCAAGGAACACAGACCAAGAGGTTGAATAGTTCTGGTAGTTCCACACCCTCACTATCTGGTGAGAGCATCAGTAACTGCAGTTCAAGTGAGGAAACAGAACCAACAAGGTTGCAGAACTTTTTACCTTCTAGGAAAAAGGCTTGCAGCAGCCCTGCCACTATTACATCCACTAAGAACATAGCAACTCAGATACCGGTACATCTCATGCATCGAAGTATCCAAACTTCAGGGTATGCTGATGTTAACATGCTCAAGTCAATCCCTTTCAAGCTCTTGGAAAGTCCTAATGGAACTTCTCTAGTCAAGATCATCTTGCCTGATCTGAAGACACTTCCAGGAGAAGGCATCTTAGGAGATGAGGCAAAGAAACCGTTGTATGTATTTTACCCAAACTATACGTTACCTGATTTAGCGTTCCTGAGAGAGAAGCAGGAAGATTTAAATGTTGCAAAAATATTCCTAATGCCCCAGAAATTCTCACCATCACATTCTCATGAGCCTGACAAAACAAATTCTCATGCTAGAGCTGCAGATAACAAGAAGACGTCAAGTACTGGTAAGTCTCAGCGTCCCTTCTCTTGCAATGATGTGGAAACTCTCCGCAAAAAAGGTTTTGCCCACATTCAGGACTGGGATTCACTAACCTTCCTGCTTCCAAGAGAATATCGTCAGATATTGGCTGAAGTCCCAGAAATTGTACATCACCTGAAAGGAAAGAATGAAGATTCACTCCGGCCTTTGTTCTGTGTGTCCCCCCCACTGCGTCCATGCAGTAAGGTCTCAAGGCCCTTGAGCTGTGACTGTGCATCAGTTGTGACAACTGCAGAAGGAAAGCCCCTCCAAGGTGGAACTAATACAGCAGCAAATGTATCTTCATCCTCTAGTACTGCAACACAGCCTTCATCAGGTTATCGTGGTTCCTCTACCATCCTCACAGACTCATCTTCAAATCACAATCCAAGTAATTATAATCCTCTTTTTGTTTACCGTTATGATAGTGTAAGCTCAGAGTCTAGTCTTATGATGAACCAGCAGAAACCAGCTGGTATCCAACAGCCACCAGCACCTCCTTTACCAAAGCGTTCAATCTCCCTTCCAGCTGGAAGAGAAGACTCAGGTCCTGTGCAAGATGCAGACTCCAGTATTCATTCACCAACACCACCTAGGCCACCACTCCCACGTGGAATTCTGCGCAAGTCGCTAGAAAGCAGTAACAACAGTGCAGTCCATTATAATTGCAAAGCCCATAAGAACAGTGCTAACAGCAAGAGGTATAGCATGTTTGAACTAGGAGACATGTCAGAGGGTTTCAGGGAGGGCAAGAATAAAAGGCGGTCTCTTCAAGACAATGACTTCTCAGAATATGCTGCATCACCAAGGAAAACTACAGGAATATGTAAAGTAGCTGCAGACATAAAGAGGAGAGTTCCATCGGAGAAGAGTGTTAATGAAATGGAAGATGAAGATTATGATGATGAAGGCGTGGATGCTGGAACAGATAGCAGCTTGGAAGAAGGTCATCTAGGTTATCAGGTAAATGTTATATTATGCCATAACATGAACACTTTGATGAAAGTGTGAACACACATTAACACCATCATCATTATCAGTTTGTGTATGTGTCTGTGTATTTATCTGTTTGCATTTGTTTCCTGGCTGTCATTTAGATCATGAGACATATAGTAGAGACTTACTTCATTAATGTATTTGTTAATTAATATGCCAGTCAGTATAATATTGTGCTCTTTGTATAAATTAAGAGATGAATGTAGCAGCATGTGGTAACACTGAAAGTGGAAACCATATTTCCTGCTTCCTCTTGTTTCATGAAACAAGAACTTCTTGGGGCTACAGTAATGAATTAAATTTCACATCCACTCAAAATATGATGTGAGGTATTTGAATGCTTGATTAAGAGCAACAAATCGAAAAAGAATGCTTTCACTGTTACATTTACATTGCTTGCCTAGAAAGTGCTGTACAAAGCAGTAATGAAAGAGTAGCTGCTTACTAGATCATTAAAAACATACCAGTAATTCAGTCTGTGAAATCTGATTTTCAGATTTTATGATTTATTTCCTATTGCCCCTCATGTTAACATGATATTGCTTGTTGAAGTTCTGAGTCTGTTAAATTTTTTAGGTTCGACCTCCAACACCACCAATTCCAAGAACACCTGAGGTGGGAGAGAGGTACTGCTTCACAAAAGCAAAGCTTGAAGAGGAAGATGCAGATGAAGATGAAGTGCTTCAGCTGAAGGAATTTCTACAAATGAGTGGTCTCTCAGTTGTCTGCTCTGGTGAGAGCCTCAAAGAATGGAATGAGGCTGACATGCTGAAATTACGTCAACAAGTCAGTATGTTCCTGTCATCCAAACAAAATGGCAACACCTCATCACATCAAGTAACAGATGAACATTGTGGGAAGCATGGAAAAACCCCTAATAATACTCCAGAACACCATGGCCCAGCCTGTGACTGCTGTAATGGTGGCAAGGCAACAGGAGGAAAGAAGACTGTAAGCTTTGCTGAGAAAGTTTGTGTTCATGTCCGTGAAACAGGCTCACCAACTGAGGCAGCTAATGACAGAACTCTGCTACATACTCCTCCAAACTCTCCCAATGTATCAACAACTCTTGTAACTCACAGAGCATATCAGGTACACAGCTTCATTATGGTTCACTAAATATTCATGGCAAAATTCATTTCTTAGTGATTATATTTGACTTTGTGAATACTTATACTAAAGTGGTCTGTTGGTTGGCATTCAGTATTAATAATTGGAGGGTCACAGGTGTGATCTCGAACATTGACACATTAAATAAGAGAACTATTTATCATTATGAAGGTAGCCACACAGTTGAAAGTGTTAATAGCATCAGCTTATGAACTGACATGTCTGTTAATATACCCTTGACACAGGAGAGTGTCTTGCACATTTGCAGTGCAATACAGGTTCCTCATTTCTCAGGAATTAAGAAAATATCTTGTTTGAAAATTCAAGCAAAAAGACAATTGTTTCATTTACTTATTAATTTTGAACATTAGATTTTTTACCATTTAAAAGAATGTGATCAGCTTTCACACTAGGAACTTATCATACCTTAGGCTTGAGAAGTTAATGAACACTGAGTCACTTCCAAAGGATTATGATGATGGTACATCACATTTGGGATTACTAAGTATTGGGACCTGGCCAATTGAGTAGTTTTCTGAAGGAACACTATGTTTCATAAACTGGATCTGTTTCTGTCCTCAGGTAAAAAGATGGGGAGGTATTCACCCAGTTGAAATTGTTAGAAAGAGACCATGCAATGGCTGAGATCACTTCTGTTTGATGGGTCCATCTGAGTATGTGCTTGCTTATTTATTCTCATGTGGGAAAAAATATAACCAGTTGCCAAAACATTGTATTCTTTAAATCCTAGACAGTGGACGAGGTCCAAACGTTCACAAGACAGAACAGTATAAAAGTAAATTGCAATCAGCTTACAGAACTAAAATTTTCCAGCATTTTCAAACTGGACGACTATATTTTCATACCATATCTGGTTATAATGCTTAATAGAATTGTTTTTGCATTAATTCCCTTGCACCACAGTAATAAAGAGGATAATAGCAGTCAATAAGAACAAACTACGCTCATACCATTTCCTTCTTTAGTTAAGTAATTTAACACCAGTCTTACATAACGGTTTAGCACTTTTCTAGTTCCTCCACGAAGTTTGTAGTTTTGGTTAAGATTGTTGGCAGGCTATCTATCTTGTAACTTTCAGGAAAATGATACGTGAATCTTAAATAGTGCTCTCTGTTGATTGTGTAAAGCAGTTGCTGCAAAACAGTTGAAGTTATTATCACAGTTTATGTGTTAACAGTGCAAGCTGAATCCCCCATTGGTGGACATGCCCATTCGAGAAGAATCAGACTCTAGTCCTGATGGCTATGCCAGTCCACCATCTGAAGGAACAAGAGTATCTGTAGTCCCAAGCATCAGTGTAGCCCAGCGTCCCATCCCTGTTGATCTGGCCCAGAAGAGGGGTGAGTCATATGTTTAATAAGCTGTTGTCTCAGCTGCTTTGATAGATGAATATGAAGTATCAGTGGGACAGTGACTGTGGGAGAAAACTTAACACCTGACTCAGTGTGTGTCACTTTGTCCACATGAAGTTCCACATAGGAGGTGAACCTTAGCCTCATATACATATGTATATATATATGTAAAAATAATTGTAATGTAAATTTCAGGAGTTACATTTTGTGTTATCCTCTTCCAACATTTCAAGGATCACCTAGCACCACGGTTTTAGTGTTCTGTCATAATTTTGTGGAGACTTTCTGCTCACTTATATACAGGGTGTCCCAGGAGGAATGGTCAAAACTTCGGGAGGGTGTTTCTTATGGTAAAGTATGCCAATATAACCCAAAACACCTATGTCCAAAGTTGAACGCTTACGGAGATAATGGCCCGAGAAAAGTGTGATCTTCTGGCAGGTCCACGCACTGTGCCTGTCAGCTGAGATGCCTTATCTATGTCTGTCCTTGAGTGTCGGTGATTCACACTAACTGTAAACTCATGTGCTACCTACAGAGTACGTTGCAGCAGGGTCATGAATGGTTGGTAAATTAGTTGTGTGATGAGTTGCTGAAATGCCTCTTGTGTTTTCACACATGGAATATTATGATATGCATTTTGTGTGTGGATTTTGCGGTGGCAATGCACGTGCTGCTGTTGAAAAGTACCAAAGGCGTTTTCCCGATCGAAGGATTCCATCTCGTAGCGTATTTACCGAATTCACCAGACATTGCATGATACTGGTTCTCTTCCGAGTGTTTCTGTGCAGTCTGAAAGGGAGGATGTACGAATGATAAACACACGATAGAACATTCTTGAGATGGTTCAGAGAAGTCCGTGTCTGTCCACTCGTAGAATGGCCTCTCGCATCGGCGTATCACGTATGCAGGTTTGGCAAACTTTACATGATGAAGAGTTGTATCCTTACCATGATCAAAGGGTACAACATCTGGAACCAGGCGACCATGCAAGCGTATGGGTTTGTGCCACTGGATAAAAGCTCATCCCGATCTGTTAAGCATCATTTTATTCAGTGATGAGGCGTCTTTTACCCTGGACGCTGTAAATAATTTACGAAATGTGCATACGTGGTCCCATAATTATGGGACTATTATGGATTATTATAATAATCCACATGAGATAATGGAAACGAAATTCCAAAAGAGATTTTCCGTGAATGTACATTTAATACAGTTATGTGGTCGGCTTATAGCGCAGTCAGCCATGTTATGCCAGTGCTTGCCAGTCAAGTGTCATGTATAGTGCTTGGAAACCCTAAGGACAATTATGACATGGCGAGCGAGTATTTTGTACGTAAATTTTATGGCTTGATGTCACTCACAAGTTAGTTTGATGTTACGTACATTATTAACATTACATAAACCACATATTCCTGCCAGTTTTATTATGTATTTTGTAATCAACAAGCGTGTAACACCAGTCAAAGTTTCACACTTCTCTGGCCATTATCTCCATAACCGTTCAACTTTGGACATAGGTGTTTTGGGTTATATCGGCATACTTTAGCATAAGGAACACCCTCCCGAAGTTTTGACCATTCATCCTGGGACATCCTGTATATTCCAGTGTCATATATCAGCTTTTATATCATAAGGTTTCCCTGATTCATAGCTACTCAGTTTTTGAAGAACAGATCTGCAAGTGTATAGTATGTACTGTGATGTATAATATGGAGATATTCCTAACAGCGCTGGTGACTGCAGTTAGTGATGCAGTGGAACAAATGATCTGCCACTTCTCAGCAGCTGAGAACCAAGCGCACTGCAGCATGTTGGGAGACTCTACTCACACTCCTGCCTGTGCTCAGTTGGCACTTTCCAAACTGTGCCCTGCTCTGTATGCTGTTTTGAGTGATGGTCTTCACCCTACTCTGGACACAGCATTTGGTTCCATTCAGAACTCAGTGTGGCAAGTTGTGGAGGCTTCTGCTCAGCAAGGTGAGATATGTGAAATAATTTTATGTTGGCCTCTATAGTAAACGTCAACAAACATTTGAAGGGCAGTCAAATGAAAACAGGTCAGATGCCAGAACATACTAAAAACATTTCTTAATTCAAAAATAATCTCCAAACCTGTTAATATATTTATCCCGCTGTGAGATAAGGTGGTCAATCTCATCCTTGAAAAAGCTTGTGAGCTGTCTACAGAACCACATCTTTACCCAGCCACACACGTCTTCGTCCGATGCAAACCAATGTCCATAAATGTCTCTCTTCAAGTCTCCAAAAATGTGAAAATCACATGGTGAGAGATCTGGGCTGCAAGCATATGTTGAAGCACTTCCCAACCAAATCTCAGTAGCGTCTTCCTCACAGTTGGCAGTGTGGGGGCGCGCATTGTCATGAAGAAGGGTAATGCCGTTTGATAGCATTCCAGGGCGTTTTGACTTTACGGTACGTCTCAATTTCTGCAAAGTGCCTTCATAGCGCTGTGCACTGATTGTGGCCCCATGCTCCAGAAATTTGACAAGCAGAGGGCCCTCGCAGTCAAAGAAGGTCATCATCACTTTACCGGAACTTGTGTGTATGGCTTTGGATTTCTTCGGTGGGGGGAGAATTCACATGTTTCCACTGTTGGCTCTGCCATTTTCTCTCGGGTTCAAAATGGTGGCACCAAGTTTTGTCCCTAGTGGCAATATGGGACAGAAAAGCGTACTCTTCCTCATGGTATCATTGCAAGTGACCAGTGATGCAGCCATTGTCTGAGTCTTCTGTTCCTCTGTTAGTTGATATGGAACCCACCGCGTGCAGATTTTGTGGTACAGCGGGTGCTTTGTCACAATGGCATATATGGAACAGCGACTTATTCCCATCAAAAGACTAATTTCTTCCACAGTGATCCGTCGGTTTGCCCGGATATCACCATCCAACGTAGCAATAACATCAGGAGTGATGACACAATGAGCCTGTCCTGGGCGAGCATAATCTTGCAGCGACACACGTCCATCTCAGAATCTCTTATGCCACACCAGCACATGCGAACATGACATGCTGTGTTCGCCATAAACAACTGACATGCGACGATTAATTTCTCATCCTACTCCTTCAGCAGTCAGAAAGTGGACTACACTTCGCTGTTTGGAAGAAATTACCCACAGACAGTAAACTTGCCATTATACAAAAATATTGTTTAAATCTTCAAACATTTCAAACTTTTCAGTTGTGTTCATATCCTTCCCAGCAAATTTTTTTTTTGCTTGCTCCATAATTGACAGTGTTAGGCTTGTCATAATATGAATTCTAATGACTTTAATTTACGTTTACACTTGTAGACGTATTATTCAACTCCCCTGTTGGAAACTTTGAGCATACAATTTGAGTGTGAATTACATTATCATTTGTCTAATGGCAGATTTATGTGGCTCTTGATATGCAGTACATTCTTATTTTCCTTGTTTATTTAGTAACTTTCAGATCTCACTGGCTCATATATAACCAATTTTATCGCAAATCTGTAACTTAATCTTTAGTGTTTTTGTAATACATTTTTACCCTCTGTTAGTCAAACCACTTAGAGGTTTGATACATGTTCCATTTCATCAAATTTTATGCTTTTTAAGTACATACATGATTTACAGTGTTGTTTTTCCATGCACATGTAGCTGTCAATGTTGGTGCGCCTTAAAACCCACTCACACACCCATGATTCTTTCTAATGTTAACATTACATAGTATTGAATGAGAGGACAGTTAGTGGATAAGGAATTGGAAATGATGTGGAAGGAAGTGTGCATGGCCTTATTGAGGTAATCTCGTGACATTTGCTTTAAAAGTTTTAGATAACTGTAAGAACCCTCAGTTAATATACCTGCTTTTTAGACCGAGATCTGGACCCATGTTCTTCCAAATATGAAGCAGGAATGTGAACCTGTGGACCCAGATATTTTACAACATAGTTTTACCAAAAGTGTAGTATTACAGTGTGGATACTGCTGTACATAGTATTGTACAGGCTCGGCATGATCACAGTTACAAGTGTTGAGAAGCCAAATAGTAAGTTTGTTTCATTATGTAATGAATTAATTTCTGCAAAACTGATTTTAAAGCTCTTTGGTGGCGGTGATATTGCTTAAAACTGCTATTTTGAACCATGTCCAACATCTGAATTTATTAAAACTGCTGTGCCTTGGAAATCAATTCTGTTTCTGATTCTGCTGTGGGGGCTCAACAGATTAAACTTTCTTTTATATCTTGTTCACTTGAAGAAGGAAAATAACCAGTGTACTGGCTGTAATAAACTCAGACAATGGGCATGGTGCAAAACAGTAGATTTAAACAATGGATTTATACTGTCTAATAGTAGTTGTTGTTACTTGACAGGTCTTATGACAAAAGCACTTAATGACTTGGTCCTGAGACTGAATGGTGAAGATGTCCTGACAGAGGGTCTAATGAAATTCAATGCATTTGTTTTTGGACTCCTGAAGTAAGTACATTTTGTCAACGTTTACACTTCTGGTACATTTAAAAGAGCATAGCTGTAGACCTTTGCAGTGTTTGACCCCATGGTCATTATGTTTTCAGATCCCTTATATCTGCTATGTGTCATTAACAGAAATAAAATGAACTCTTTGTCTTCTAAAAGTTATATCCTTTTGCACTCAAGCTGAAATTGAGTTACACCCTGAGTATTGAAACAGACTGCAGTCTGCAGCAACCTGCTCACACTGGTTCCTTGCTCACTGATTTTTCTACCTTGAAGATGGAGGTGATATGTTTCTCCGAAATGTCAGTTCACACAAGATATACATTGCGCCACATGCCAGAAGACGGCATTCTTCATAACATATCGTGACACATTTGTGCTATGCAGGACACCCCCCACCAGCAGTGACATAACAGCATCGGAGCCACTGCCACTGCTATGGTAACAGGCCAGTAAACGTCCCCCCCCTCAAGGTGTTGTAACAGCACTTCCCACTGTGATGTAACAGGTGACACCGCAGTTACTACGTGGCAACAGGGAACTGTATAAAAGGCCAACTGAGCGGTGTGTGATCAGGAGTGACACAGTGTTGATTGTGAAGTTGCCGAGAGCAGTGGAAGTCTAGCAGTTGCCGAGTTCAGCTGTAGTGACTACAGCAGAAGACGTAATTGTGATACTGCAGATGGCAATACTTGTGAAACTAGATTGTGTAAATGTAAGAGCAAGTGGAATAAATTTGCTATAACCAATATGGCGTGAAGTTATTTGTCACGTTACAAACACCCAACACGTGACAGTATATTATTATATTTGTTCAGCCTTTTATCATTCTAGATGAATCTGTGACATATTAGATATTTAAAATAAAAAAACTGCTTGTACAGAATTAAATTATTTTAAATGTATATGCTGAACATTATAATTACAAATATGTTTCTGAAATGAAGGACCGAATTTTGATATTGATCTTGAAGCTATTAAAGCAGATAAATTCAGAGCAAGTGCTCCACATATTTACCCGTTAACAGAGTTTAGAATAATATAATTTAGATGGTGATTCTGAGAAATAATAATGCACACATTTGTTTTCCACAGTGTGCGTTCATTAGATGCATGGGCAGGATATTTGCGTACAAGAGAAAGTGTCTTACGAAAGCATTATGCAGCAGAGGGCCTCTTGTTGCTTGCAAATACTGCTGGTGCCTCTGTAAGGGCACTCATGGATCAACTGCTTGCATCTCTCCAGCCTTTGTCTCTGCTGCCATTCAAGTTGGACCTGCTGTTTGAAGTTCGGCAGTTGCACCACAGTTTGCGACGCATGGGCTCCCTTCCTCAGCCAGATATCGCTAGCCAACAGGTATCACATGTTGCATATTTCAGATGGAGAGGTTTTACTAAATGGCTCCATGAAGGAAGACTCTTCTTGATAGCTAAAGCTGCTCAGCTGGTCTGGATAATATTTGACTTTTATGGGACTCTAATTAGTTTTACAAGCACACACCGCTCACCCCTGTTCACCAGATAAATCCAGTCCATACCCTTGCATTCTATTTCTTGACGATTCTTTATGATTCATTTTAATATCATCCTCTGATTTTTGTGTAGGTCTGTTAAGTTGATCAGTTTTCCCTTCATAGTTCCCAACTATGTATGTATGTGTGTCTGTCTGTTTGCATACCATGTCTCAGAATATTTCACGAGTACCTGATATGTATGTATGTAATTTCTTTGTTCCTTCTTATACCATGTATCAGAATATTTCTTGAGTACCCGATAGTCACTCACCTGGTAGAAGAAAATCCAACATCTTATGGAGCACAAACATTCGTTATCATTCTCTTAGTGTTCCATCACTGGACCCTGTCCTTGCCAGCTGAGTTTATCCCACACCCTTGCACTCTTGTTTGTTTGAGATCAGCTTTAATAGTATCCTCCCATCTACATCTAAGACTTGAAAGTAGTTTCTTGCTATCAAGTTTTTCACTTACAGTATTTAATCTTCTCCTTATATGCTACATGTACCATACATATCATCCTCCTTGATATGATTGTCATAGTGACATCTAACAAAGAGCACAAATTATGTGAGTTTCTCCATCCAATTCACACTTCAGCAATTAATCTCTTTGATTTGTTTGTTTACATAATTTATATTTGTTGTTCAGTTATGTTTGAAATTTGGCACATTGTCAAACATCATCCATCTCCAATTCAGTTAGATATTTTATAAAATACAAAACTTTAGTTCACTGAATAACTTAGTTTATGTCCACATAGTGGAAAAAACAATTAGTTACATGGCCTGAGAAAGAAGTCACATGCATTAGCCTGTGCACTTGACTTTGGAAAGGCATTGTGTATGGTAGACGTGTAGTGGCAATGAAGGGAATTTAATATATTTTATTATGGTTATCTTCTAAGCGGGTAACATTCCCACCTCATGACTCAAGGTACGCGGGTTCAAACCCGGCAGAGGTCGTGGAATTTTTAAGGGCGGAAAAATTCAGGGAACAAGTCCTCCGGGAGGGACTTTAAGCCGTATGTCCCGTGTCGTAGATTTACGGCACGTAAAAGATCCTCATGTCTCTAGGACACCTCTGAACAAAATTAGGCAAAAAGTTTCCCGCCCAAGTAGTTTCCAATGCCTCTGGTAGATGGGGAAGTTATCAGGTACCACTGCCAGCCTCACTGGCTGAACGGGGCTGATAGCGAGCACCAGTACCGGAAGGGTATGGCGACTGGTAGAATATCAAAGGGGGACGTACAATAGACTATTAGTTGCGGTGCTTGGGGAAACCCACCCCCTCCAATAGTAATAATTATGGTTATATTTTAGCCTACCACATCATCATCTCCAACAAGTGGAAAATCCTGGACCCTATTGAAGTTTGTCCGATCCATTCAAAACAGCCTCAGTCAGTCTGGTGATGAAGAGAATCAAGGTGGTTGTCACCATCGCAGACCAGTATCAGCAGAAGTGCTGCCACGAGCTGAAGAATCAGCACACCATCCTAACTGCACTGCAGGCTCTTCAAACAGTCCTCCTCTACCTGATCTCCTGGACTCCTTTTCCTCTACTCACAAGCAATGGACTGGGGAAGATAAACCAAGACCACGATCATGCGTTGACAACACAGTACAAGGAACAGGAGGTTTCTCTCTTGTAACAGACATTGCAAGTACAGTGAAAAAGCGTTGGAGTGGCATACAGCTTGGCTCAAAACTTTTCCAAGCATTTGACCGTTTAGCAGCAGAGGATACTGAAGAGGAGTACTCAGACAGTCTAGAGAATAAACCAGGAGGAAGAAGGAGACATACATCCGGTTCTTCAAATAATTCTACTAGTGATGACTATGTGGAGAATATCACTAGAGATGAATCTGTTTCACCTGCACCTTTGCTGAATGTTAAGGCTACAAAGACTGATGAGACAAGGTCAGGGGAGTCTGCATCAGAAAAGAAACCTGCCGGAACAGGAGGGGGGAAGTTCAGGAGGTTGCAAATGAAGTGGGAAATGCTGAGTGGCAAAGAAGTGGGTATAAATGAGAAAGTTTCTCCAGGAGGATTAACTTCCCCAGGTCAAGCCAGTGATGTTACTTGTGGAAGTGCCAACACCAGTGTTACCAGTAGTGGTCGATCAAAGATACCTCGTCCTGTGACCTCACCAGTCAGAACTTCTGGGATTCCTGTCCTATCTCCTCAGCAGTCCACTCGTTCTAAGAAGGCTGTTACAACACCACCCACCCCCACAAGCTCTTCACAGCTGAGAAGACCAAGTAATGTTAGTTCAAAGTTTAAGATCAATTCATCTGGTGCAAAAGAGAACTGTGATGGAAAAGACATTGCAGTTAGACCTCAAGCTGGTAAAGCTGCAAACATGAATGTTACACCTGTGGTGAAACGCCAGCCCTCAGCATCAACGCGATGCAGCAGGGTGGATCAGTTACACAGTGAGGAGCAGGGACATGGATCCAGGGGACATGCAGCCAGACCAAGTAGCCTGCCATACAGACCAGCCAACACAGTGCAGGGGAACAAGAATGGGCAGACAGCAAACAAGACAGAGGTGCAAAGGAGAGCTGCATCTTCATCACTCAATAGGCAGAGGCACAGTGACAACCAGGAAGGGCCAAGGTAATGTATGGCTTACTTAAAATGAGGGACTTTCACGTTTTCTTAGGCTACTGGTAAGGAGATGATATAGTAATGCTTTTTTGGAAGGCAGGATTCGTACATTTAGTTGTTTTAGTAGAATTATAATGTTATAATTTCCACTCTTTATCATTGTATGATACAAGAATTTTCAAGTAAACTTGTATATTTATGATGATTCTGGGATTTGGCACTGAGTATATGTGGTGTTAATTAACGTTTCGGAGGAATGTATCACCTCCATATTCAGGGTAGAAGGAAAAATATAAGAAATCCGCAGGCAAAGAGACCATGAGAACCGGTACAAGCAGACTGCTTGTTCCTCCGAAACGCCGGTTAACACCACATATACACGGTGCCAAATCCCAGAAGACTGCTTTCTTCATAGTCACAGCTGTGGGAACCTCAGATCTTACATTGTATATTTATTATTACTTTCAGAAACCCCAAGTTTTTCTGTGAGTTGTCCTTAAATAAAGTGCTGAAATACTGAATTTGCTTGTTTAGTGTTATCATCTTAATATATTTTTCTCTTGGCCTACTTCATTATTTACTGCCTCGATGCTCTATAGTGAACGGTTTTTTATTAAATATAGTGAAACAACACTGGACATCGATTGCACTATACAGAAAGAAAGAATTGGTTTCTTAGGAGCCAGACAGAAATGGAGAACTAGAGAAGACTGGATAAGTGGAGGATACATGAATATCATTATCAGTATCATCATCATTAATCTGATTATTGTATAGCAGTAACATCTATGTTACATGCTTAGTAACACCAAATTTCAAGTAACATGAGAATTCATTTTTAATGTCATGTTAGTATCAACTCATACTTTAGAAATAAGGAGAATACAAGGCATGTATCTCAGCAAAGTTAACATAGCAGTTAAACATTGTTAGTTTTCTAGCATCATTTCTATTCATGTGTGACAGTCTGGAATTGGACCACATTAATGTGTCTTACAGTAAAAAAAATAAGATAAAATAAGAGAGTAATACAAAAAGTTTTCATTCAGCTTAATGCCTAGTTTAATTTTTGTTTCCATTTTTTATAACTTTGTCGTGAGGATGAATTATTCTAAAGTTGATCGGTAGTTTTATTTTACTGAAATTTATTATGTTATGATCGTTGTCAGTCATGTTCTATCGATCAGTCTCAGAAAGCCAGTATCATTAGAAGTTCACTTGCGTGTATATAGTATTTCATATAATTGTTGGGAACATCTGAAGTGTAGAAAGGTTCAGGGAGATTGTACCTTGTAATTACAAAAGATGTGGAAGGGTGGGTATCTGTAATCCATAGAGATATGGTATGTGAAGATCAAGGTTTAACTTAGTATTGCAGATTATAGTAACCTAACATTCCTATTTATGTTGTGCATGAGAGGCCTGGCTTAGGATTCAGTGTAGTTTATTATGCTAAGTGGTATGTTAATGTACTGTCTTTTAGTCAGTGCTGTGAAGTATTGGCTGTTATCATTTTAAATCTAGTTCATATCATGCTTCAAATAATCAAAATAAATAAACGTATCTGTATCAAAACAGCTTGCAAGTTTCTGTTGTTGTGCTTCTGACTACATTTTTCTAGGTATGTTCGAACACTATGTCATCGACTACCGTCAGATAGTGGTCACTTATCATTCAATGAAGGTGAACGACTGCGCCTTGTGTTGGAAGTGGATGAGAAGTGGCTACTTTGTTGCCGGGGTGATCAGAAGGGACTGGTTCCAAGAACAGCTGTAAATGCAGGTCTGGTACCAAGGCAAGCTGTGATTGCAGTACAAGACAACATCTCAAGATTTTAATGATGATCCAGGATTTGATGACACAACAGGGTCACATAACCCAGCCTGTAAGACTGTCCAAGACAAGAGAACTAGAAGACATTTCATACCAAGAACAACTTTTATATACAATAAGTAATACTGAATAAGAGCAGATTTCCGTTCTTTGTCATAAAATGTAACCCATTATTAAGTGGTATTCATCTTGCTAAATAGGGTACTAATACTGATTTTGCACAGTATAGACATTTGGCTTATAACTGAGGTGTAACATATCTAATATACCATACACTACGGAATGTGTGTCATAATTGTATAACTGTTGTTAGTGACTGATATTTTCTTGGTGTGAAATGTCTCATTTGTCTAAATACCAAGTAACAGAGAAGAGTGCAGTTTTGTGTCCGACATTAGACTGTATGAAGCACAAACCAAACTTCAAGGTTTTCTGTTTGTGGAATGGTTGCTAAGTGTGAATGTATTGGGTGAAAGTGGAAGTAAAGAAAGAATGTTTGTTTCTGAGTAATGTGGAGGTGAGAGCGTTTGGATTGGCAGTATATTATGGCTTTCAGATATCAGGATAGTTGCAGACTTTTAGAACATTAATTATCATTTTACTTGGTACTGTGTTATACGTTATACTAGGCACTTCATTATGTAGAAATATACTATGAAAGATCAATGTCCCCTATACAAGCTAACAAAAGAAAGATGATCTTAATGACAAATACTATGGAGAGGGAGAGAAGCCTTTGCAAATTCAGAAGAGTAAATTCTTGCAGCTGTGAAGAAATTGTTGGCGCTGAATACTAATTTTATGATAATCCTGTCTTAATTCAATGATCCTAATTCCTTATCTTCTTATGTGTGTTTAAATGTTAAATATTTATTATTATTGTCACTTCAGGCTTAAAGCTGCTTATTTGTGATCCCTTTAACAGCTTTGGCTTTGTAAGGTGACCAGTAGATGGCACCATTCTATAGCATCTTTTCTGCACCTGAGCTTGCATGGGCCAGGTATACGGCGTTGATACCTCATGGTTCCCACTTCCAGCTCCCTTATTGTCTCATTCTCTTGCTTCATTCTGTATGATTTTTTTTTATCGTTAATTAATGCAATTTAATACTTAGGTCAATGTAATATCAAGCATCTGGCAGTAATTCTATTATCTGTGGCAAAACTTCAGACTGGATATGAGAACAGAAGTACATAATCACAATGTGACAGGATAGCAAAATTCCTTTCCAGTGTGAACTACTGTGTAGTCACTATCACATGACACTGGTGTCAGAAGTGGGATGGAAGTGCCTAGTAAAAAATAAGATATTTTGTCTTGTGTCATTTGCTGTCAGTTTTAGATACGAGGTATTTATGGCAGTGAAATCTTAGACTGTGATCTTCTGGGTAATGACATGATGTGGTTTCAAAGATGGTTATGAACATTTTGGAGGAGCATGCTGCTTCCACCATCAGGATAGAAAGTATTGTAACAGGCTAGTTGGTCTCCTTTTTCATCTAACTTCCTCCACGCCCTGTTAACAGAGATAGCTTTACCTTATTTTACCTTACTATATTTAAACATGTAACAGGCATGGTAAACACATTTCCTTTTTTCATTTAACCGTTATATTTCAGTACATGATAGATTTGGTAAATCTGTCTCCTCTCTCATCTAATGACTGCAATATATTTGAATTAATGATAATGGTAGAACATGAAAGAATGCATCAGTGCACCTTACTTTGTTACTAATGGTAGACAGTACATTCATATCTTTTTTAACAAAAGTAAGAGCCGGGATTGCAAAACCAGTATAGCAACTGGCTATGGGCTGGACGACCAAGGGGTCAGAGTTCGAGTCCAGGTAGGGTCAAGAATTTTCTCTTCTCGAACGTCATCCAGACTGGCTCTGGAGCCCACCCAGCTGCCTGTCCTATAGGTACTGAGGGCTCTTTCCCTGGGCGTAAAGTGGCCGGTTATGAAGCTGACCAGTCACCTCCAACTAGTGCCTAGGTCAAGAAAATGGGGATCTATACATCCACTCCACTCCCTCATACATCTTCATGGCATGGCGTGTAATTAGTTAAGCACAGGGACAACTTTAGCTTTACCTTTTAACAAAGGTATCATTAACTCCTAATTGCTGTAAAAGACAAAATTTTCTCCATATGTAGGGTGTAAATTCTAGATATCAAGTGCTGAAAGAATCACATGTTTTGATCATTTGTGGTGGCAGGGAAATCGCTTGATCTATTATGTAAAGAGGATAGTTAAAAATAGATATATGGTAGTTAGTTCCTTAGGTTCTGGTCTCATGGATTTATTTGCATATCATTAAAATGAAAGGAAAAAACAGACTTTTTTAAAACTGTTGTCTTGCTTGAAGAGAGAAATTAGTTTTCTTCAGTAGATTGTTTAACTATTTATTTTTTTAAGTAATAGACATCTGAGTAAAATATCATTTTCAGTAACTAAAAGAATATGGAGTGTAAGTGGCATGAAATTGAATGGCATTTGATGCATATATTTTGTGCTGATGGAGGGAGACTGGTTCAGTATACTGTCACAAACAAAACTGATGCCTGTCATTGATAATCCACCCTGTACCTTACTTAACTTAATTTAATTGGTATACCAGCATTTCACTTTCATTTTCATGGTCATTCCTTTATGAACCAATCGAATGCTTTCATGACATAACTTGACCACTGCACAAGTGAGCCAAAAGAATCATTCTGTTTCACATCAGTTATACTTAAAATTCAGAAATGTTTCAGAGACTACGAAATATCCCATGTAATATATAATAACTGAAGGATTTCTCAATTCATTAAATTCAGGATATTTTGAATATCCTGAGAATTTGAGTTTTATCTGAATATATGTCAGCTTCAAAAGTGAGGTTAAAAATAATAACTCAGTATGAATCTTCCACAGACATGCCTTAATTTTGGAGTGTTAAAACAGCTGTTGGAATTTGTTCTTTTGCAAGGCTCCTGCTTGCTTTGGAGAGCAAGGAACTGTAATTTCTACAAGTACAGATATTGAAATAACATTAAAATAATGCATCAGTGTATGCAGTTCCTCTCTGCACTCAACAAATGTTATTCCATTCAGTGTCACCAGCCCAAAATGATAGAAAACAAATAAGTTGATATGAATAACAATTGTTTAAGAGGGTATGTGATACATTTATATTCTAGAGTAAAAATATTCGTCCCAAGTCCATGTGAAGTATTAGTAGTCATTGTTTAATGTAGCATTATATAGACAATATTCCAGCAGAAGTGACAATCGATTAACTCGTGATTATGTTCATGTTAATTTTTCATATAATTCACTTGTCAGTATAGTAATAATTAGGAAAAATTTCAGAGAAAAAAGAACATTCTAAGTTTAAAAAAATATACAGACAAGAAATTGAACCTGGACATTAATAGTGGATGCATATTTCCTTGCTTACAGATCAGTTTCTAATTAATGGATTCTCTTGTGTAGTAAAAGATTTGTATTGTCATTGTTTTAACCCAGGTGAATGGCGAACGCACGTTAAGTGGACATTATTACAGAGTAGACTCCAGAATTTATTGATATATGTATTATCATTGGAATATATATACATAATCAGATAACTGTAATGCCTTAAAGGCAACAGAAAAAATGTCCTTAAAATTAAACATTCTTCAACTAAATATGTGTTGTCTGTGCACATCTACCTCCATTTCCAGCCATGCCGCCAACTGTGGAAATGTTTACCCATCATGAAATAATGTTTCAAGTACAATATTGTTCATGATCAACATGGAACAAGTGCAGGTGCCATGCACACCAATACTCCTTGTTGTGGTTCAAATTGTGTTGCTGTATAACTGTTAGGAAATATGTTTATTTTGTGATTTGATTTGTCCTGTATTGTTAGACCTTGATGCAAGGTATATATAATTCACAGTCAGTCTGTGCAGATACATTGTAAAAGTGACACAGTACTTCTGAGATTTTAACATATAGTTAATTATTTTAATTTTGTCATTTCTTGATACTGCAAAATCGATTGAAATACTTATAAATAAATGCTGCCAAAGCATCGCCAAACCCTCCTGTAATTATACTATGGCCTGTATATATGTTTCCCAGGACACTATTTTGACTTTTGTCAGAATAGCTGTGAAAAAGCTAACAAAACCAAAAGGAAATCTGTTAATGTATGCTGATGCATAGAAAACCATGTTATAGTAACTTTCCTGTTCCTCTCTTCACTCCTTAGAACTATAAAACTTAATTGATGTATGAGGTAGTGAGATTATATACAATATTAAATTGTTAATGTTTCTAAGTTTGAATTGTCAAGTTTGCTGGAAAATATGATATTGTAGTCGTTCCTCAGTAACACTTTGGATAGCTTCAAATCTTATTATAGAATGAATGAGTACCCTCTGTCAGTTTATAATCGCTAGATTATTCATAAATTTATTTTGAGTTACAAATGTGGCAGATTAAATAAAATATATTCTTTTTTTCATATATGGGTATGCCTTGTGGCTTTTATATCTTACAAAAATGCATTTGCTGAAGCCTGATATGTCTTTTGTTAAGGAAATGATTCAAGTATGCAAGTCCAAAGATAGGTTCAAGTTTAGCTCCACAGTTCTGTTCTGTCTAACAAGCACCAAGACTAAAAGTCTTGTGTGTAACTGTATAATCATATTCCTGTTTAGGTATGTATGTAACTATGGAATTTTATTTGGTGCACAGTTCAGTGTATTACTTGAGTGAAAATTCAAGAGATGTGCATTTTGTTGATATATAAATGTGAAATATAAAAGGGGGGAGTTTTTAAACATGTTTGTGTACTAAGTACATTATGCTTTAGAACCATTTTTTTATTTTTCTTAGTTCTTTGTAATTTTCATCTATATTTAATTTATCTTTTGTAATCTCATTGTACATATAAAAGTTTATTTTATGTAAATAGACAGTTGTTTATATGAAAGAGAAACTTTAGTAGAATCTCAGTCACATATGTAATAAGAAATTATGTAACTGTAAATCATTCACATATAAAAAAGTTCTGTAGTAATATACTACTGTAACAAAATATATTACTTAAGATGCATATGGCTTATGGTTGTATGTAAATTTTGGCATGAGAATCATTGCAGAAACTGAAAGGTATGAAATTAATTCTTTAGTTGTAAATGAATAAGGTATACATTAGAATACCTGAAAGTGTTTACATGAAATTGAATGACAGATGTTGTGAAATAATATAATACAAATCTATGGTAAAAACACGCCAACAATCATAAGTATTCAGTAACTTGCATGTACAGGGATGTAAGCTAATTTTAGTTGTTTTTATGCTTCAGACTACTTCAGTAGACCAAGAAATTCCATTTAGCAGGGAATAGAGATAGTTTAATTAGTTTTTTTTTGTACTTTCACTTTGTCTTTCCTTGCTGGAATTAAAGAGCCTTTTCTGAAGAGTCCTAACCATAGTATAGGATCAGTCAGACCATTGGTCAGCAGCCATTCTCCCCCACCACTAAACACATCTTGTGTTGTGCATGTGTGGTATTGTGGATTAATGTATGAATGTTGAGTGTGTCATTTAGGACAGTAGTCATACTGATATAATTCAGTAGCAAACACTGAGTTTTTGCAGGGTAGCTCAAATGTTTATTTCCTCATCTTCTTAAAGTATGAATGAGACTGAGAAGACAAGATCAGAGAGAGAGCAAGAGAGAGTACTCCATAATGTAGTATACAGCATTCAGAGCTGTGTTATTTGACGTTTCTTTAAACAAGAAGGGAGTACTGTGCTTTTTGAGTAACCAAAACTTCGTTGACCTACACCATTTTAATTTTAAACATGAAAGAAACGTTTATGTAATACACATGCACACACAAAGAGATGAAAATGCTTCGTGCTACAGTTTTATTACATAGTGGTTTTCTGAACATACAGCTGATGATCCTTTCAGTTTCTGTGTGTATATGGTTTTTACCCATTGTTAATTCCAGGCACTTGACCTTTCTCATCAATAATTCATATATTTTAAACCAAAGGACAATACATCCTCTGTGTCCATGTATTTATCATAAGCATTTAATATAAATAGACATCATTATCCTGCATTATATTTAATTATCCTACCTGCTTATTCCTTTAATAACTGCATAGAAATTGCAGTTAACTGATTTGTTATAAAATGGTAATTTGAGAATCTCCTGGAGAAGTTGCATACTGGGGGCATGCTGTAACTAAGCAGCTGTGTAGAAACTGTATGACTCATGATAAATAATGTATTTTATCATGTAATGTATGTTTCAGTTTTTAATTGGGTATGAAGTATATATGTCATATTTCTTTACATTCGTTTGAAACTCTTTTGCATTGATAAATAATTAGTGATTTGGTCAATCAGCATGTCTGCAGTAGGGATCTGAAGTTTTGTCATGCACTGATATTAGTGTGGTAGGTAAATCAATTAGTGCTGTTTGCTATTTTTATTAGTAGGCATGTGCTTCCTATCAGTTTATTCATCATTTCATTTGTCATAGATCTTCATGCAAAATGTCCATTATTCTCCAGTTTAACCAGAACTGAAATGTGCTGACAAACTGTATTAAACTACCAGGTATCAAATTTCATGAAAGTCTGTTTACCAATTTGCAATTTATGTGAGGACAGACATGACTGGTGTGTTTTTGTTACTTTTCATTATGAATTCGATAAAAAAAACTTTATCAGTAATAGCAAATTATGTCACACATGGACATCATTTTCAGCATCTGTTTCATTAGTCATCTCTTTATTTTAAAAAAGACATATACTTCAGGTTTCTTAATTTTCCACTTTTGTACATTCTAGTAAATGTGATAGCAATTGAAGTGTGGGGTCTTATGTAGTTTTGTCATTACTCCGATGACAACCCACTTCTTCAGAACAGTTTGTTGGTCCTGAAAAGGACCGTAGTTGATGAGATGCTTGATCGGTGAGGTAGCACGGCGTGCGCCTGTAGGGAGAGAGGTTAGTTGCGGTGAGTGGACTGGCCGCAGTGCGGCCATTGCCGGAGGTTGCTTGGTCGCCGTGCAGCAGGTGGGTTGGAGTTGCGTGGCGAACGCAGCACGGTCGTAGGCTGCTGGTGAAAGGCTAGTCGTTGAGCGCGGTCGTAGGAGTGATGAGGCAGTGGCTACACCAGATGCCCAGTGGGTCGGACAGGGACACGACCACCGGAAAGTCCAGGCGAGGTGCCCCAGTGAGTTGGGTGTGAGAGAGCTGGAGTGCCGAGGCAGTCATGCCTGGCGCAGCCTGCCGATGCCTCCGAAGACCGAGCGCTGGCGACAAAGCCTGGTGGCTGATGTTGCTTGGTGTGGCTTGATCATAGACTGAAGTAAACTGACTTTGCCGGTTCGAGGCTGCTCCTTTTTATACACTGCTCGGTGGGCGGAGCGAAACTCGAAATTGAGGAGGAAGTATTGATTGGCTAGCGCGCGTAATGATGTAGATGCGGGCTAGCAGCGAGCGCGGTATAAATGCGAACGTTTGGAGCAATTTGATTGCTTAGCGCGTGTGATGGTGAAAAGTAATGTGAAGAGTGTGCGTTGCAGAAAATGTGTGATAATGTGTCCCACAGAAGAAATCATTGATATACCTGGCCAGTATATTTAGTACTAATTTAAAAAAGCATACCTCTTTTTTCTTTCAGCAGGTTTCATGCCATCTGTATGGTGGCTATATAAAGGAAAATAATTTAAATGATTATGTAATGAATGTGCTTTTAAAATAAGTATTGGGATAAAAGTTTTGATATTTTATTTGCTCTCCCAACAATTTGTATATACTGCCCCAGTAACACTGTTGAAATGCACCTTATTTTTGTCATTATTGAGTAGTTAAGGATATGCATTAATAATAATAATGAATTTATTTCAAAGGCCTTGAAGTGACAAATTAATATTTAATGTCAGGGGGTATAACTTAGCATAATTTTTCAACCGCTGACATATTAATCTACTGTGGGTAAAAAGATGCATCATCAGTTTTGGTGTAGAGTTTTATATTACCTTTAGAAATTACTAGAGTCTGTTGTCTACACCCTTGTGGTATTCTTATGCTGCTAGAAAATTCAGAAATACTAACACAGGACGTTTCTTCCGTAAGGTTGCCGGCACAAGATATATCCTGGCTCAGAGAGTAAATGGACTACGAACATCACTGACATCATCATTTTGTCATTTACAATACAGAATATTACAGAGATCTTAATTTTTATACAAATACACTTTATTAATGAAACGTTTTACAAGAAAATGAAAAATCCCAAATTAACATAAACTATGACCCAAAATTATACTAATTCATAATGAGTGATTTAATTAAATACATTGTAGTTGGAAAATAATCATATAGAATGGGGGAGTTGAAACCTATACATGTATAAAATTGTGATAAATGCATTACAGAATTTCAGAAACTTTCATCCAAAGTCTGTTCTTTCTGTTATAACTGCACAGTCTGTCACACAGGAAATGTGCCTAATGCCATGGATATGGTATGCCATTTATGTAATTTTGTGCCAGTTCTAAAGGTGTTGTTCCATTCTTATCACGGGCAGTAATGTCTGCTCCACTTTGTATGAGAAGATCTGCTGTTCTTATGTTTCCAACTTTCTCAGCCCAGTGCAGTGGTGTCTGGTTCTGATCACTTGTGATGGCATTTATATCTGCACCCCGGTCTAATAGTAATTTTACCAAATCTACAGACCCCTGTGCTGCTGCTTCATGAAGTGAAGTCCTATTGTCACCGTTAATAACCTTGGCATTGACTGCAGCTCCTCCATCCAAAAGTAAATGAGCAACTTCCAATCTGTTATTGTGTGCAGCTGAATGTAATGGTGTTGCTCCAATTCTGTTTCTAATGTTCACAGGAACTCCATTATCCAGCATCCAGTGAACTATGTTTGCATGACCAAATGCTGCTGCTAAGTGAATTGGCAGATCACCAAATTGGTTTCTAGATAACTCAGTCAGATTTGCTCCATACTGCACTAACAACCTCACAAGTTGAAGATTTCCTGCCATGGCAGCTCTTTGCAAAGCCGTGTATCCCTGGTTGTCCACTCTGTTTGGATCTACTCCTGCTTCCAGCCAAGCCTTTACCAATACAGGTTTACCATATATAACTGCCTCTGGCAGAGACTGCAGTCTACAGATGTCATTACTATGGCTTTGCAGAAATGTCAGGAGTTGCAGTAGGTCATTCTGTTCAGCTTCCTAGAAAAGATTGTTGAGGTTATATAAGATTGAGATGGTCCAGTTCAGTTAGGTCGGCATATGAAAAGTGTACCCGGCAAGGATGGTTGTAATAATTTTTAAGAAATATTCTGGATTAATGTGTTATTCAAATCTACAAATTACTGTGTTTTTGATTTTATTATATCCTGCTTATCATTTACATCCTCTATTATCCACTTGGCAACAGTGTGAGACTTTGAAAATTTAAAAGAAACATTGTTTATGAAAAAGGTTTCTGTGATAAAACAGTGATTTATAATTATGCAGCCAGAAATCATGTGTTTTTTTTTTGTCTTTATTCATTTTTGTTCCTCTGGAATACAAATGTAGAGAATTGTAGAGAAAACCCTGTGGAATCGCCCTTAAAACTAACAGCCAGGAATAAAGTGCTATGTAGTAGTCAAAAAAGTTTCTGGTGTTTTGAAGAAACATACTGTTTATTTTCAGGGTACGTGTGAGAAGAGGAGATCAGAGGCTATTTCTTTAGGTAGAGGTTGACCTGCATGGAGGCACACATGTATATGGATAGTTACTTCACATTATATAGTATTTGTAACATATAATCTGTGAACTCTTGTGAACGTGGTAATGAACCTTCAGATTCTATAAAAGACCGGAAATTCCATGAGTGGCTGAGTGACAGATTTTCAAGAAGGATTCTGCTCCATGAAGTTAGGCTATAATGTATATATCACTCCTGTACTGAATTATGTGTTTCTGAAAATTTTCTTTGCAAAGAAAGTATATATATACATACATGCATGTCTTCCCACAGTTAATATATATATATGTACATGCATGTACAAAATAATTTATATACAAACTTGAGACTACAGATTTTGATCTGTTACTGCTGTCAAATCATTGTGTTCTGCAAATTACACGTAAATGTACATACTAACCAGTTTCTGTTCTGCTTTCTTCATCTTCTGTTGCAGGTTCTGTATCAGAGTATTATTCTCCAACTCTGAGGTAAGATTTTGTACTTGAATTGTCTTATTTCTCAATTCAGTGAGTAGAGCAGGAGGGATAGTAGAGCAGTTTTGTTTATTGTTACTTTCAGTAATTAATTTTGAAGTAAGGTTCTGAATGTAGCTTGTTTTATTCCTGAGTTCCAGTGCTAAGTTTGTTGAAAGTTCTGTGCAATCATTAATTTTGCCTTCTAACTCATTATCTTTTAGTAATTTTCGAGTCAAGTCATGTATTTTGCTTGATTTATTATTCAGTTCCTTCATTAACATAGAAGAATTATCTAAACATGTTTTCAGTTGGACTCCTAATTTACTCATATTTATTACATCTGAAGTCAGATTTTCAACCTGTTTTGTTTTGTTTTTAAGTTCAAGATAGATAGACTGAGAAAAGTTGGTGCAGGTTTGTAAACGATTTTCATAATTATCCGTATTCTCCAGTTTGAGATATTGTATTTCTCTAGTTCTGTTTTCCAGTTCCAGCTGAAGTACCAATGAATTATTGGTGCAGTTTTGTAACTGTACTTCACAGCTCTGTACCTTTTTCGATGCAGTTATTAAATTGTTTACCATATGTGTGTTGTAATTTTTTGTGGTATATAATGTGTGGTAACAATTTTGTACCTGGGCTTCTAAGCTGCCCTTAGTCTTAGTGAGTCTTTGAATTTCCCTTGTTTTATTAATAAGGTTCAACAAGGCAGAAGATAAGTTGTGTGAACATGTTTGTAATTCAGAATCAAGAACTGACAAATAATTAGAGCAGTTTTGGACATTTATTCCCAAAAGATCATGATTCCTTAATTTGGTTGTTAAGTCTTTTATCTTATTTGAGCTATTTCTTATTTCCAATATTTGTTCCATTTTTTCAGTAGAACATTTTTGTAACTGGGCTTGTAAGACATCCCTGTCTCTCAAAACAGAAATTAAAAATGTTATTTCACTTGTTTTGTTGTTTAATGTTGACAGAATGGAAGAAACCTTACATGAACAGTTTTGTGATTGTTTTGCTTTATCCAGCAATTTGGAATTCTGTTCATCTGATTTCCCTGTTTTATTTTTTAATTCAGAGAAGAGAAATAATGAATTATTCATACAGTTTTCTAATTTTGCTTCCAAATTATCTGCATCTCTTAATCTGGCTGTAAGTTCTTGTACCTCATTTGACTTGTTTCTTAATTTTGACAGTTGCTGTACTTTCTCATGAGAACAGTTTCGTAACAAAGCTTTCAAATTATCTCTTTCTCTCATTACAGAAATGAGGAATTGTATCTCACTTGTATTCGTATATAACTGTAAAGGCGTGGAGAATGAGTGATCTGCACACATCTGCAGTTTTGTTTCAGTGTCTTTTAATGTGGACTTTTGTTCTTCCAAATTCTTTGCTGTTTTGTTCACTTCAGAGGACAGATGTGATAAATAAATGGAACAATTTTTTAATTGTTTTTCACAAATATCCCTATGCTCCAGTTGTGATGTCAGTTCATGTACCTCATTTGACTTATTTTTTAGTTGTAATAATATGGCAGAACAGGAAGTGTAACAATATGTCAGTTGAGTTTCCAAAGTATTCTTTCTTTCCAACAAGTTTTTGAGAGTCTGTCGTATACTTGAATTATTGCTGAATTCAGACAAATTGGAGATTAAAATAGAGGCAGTGTTATCCATCTGTCCTTTATTCTCCAATTTGGCTTTCAGTTTGTGTATTTCATTTTCTTTGTTTTTCATCTCTAACAAGCATCCATTTGAAACATTTGTAAAATTATGGGATAATTTATCTAATACCATACTCTTCAATCTGGATTTCATCTTGTTTATCTCTTTTGTTCTGTTCTTTAGTTCTAGAATCATAGAGGAAGATACATCTTTGCATGTCTGAATTTGTGATTTCAATCTGTTAATTGTTTCCTTTTGATTCTTTACCTCATTTATCAATTGTATTTCTCGTTGCATCTTTCTCCCAAAATATTTTTCAAGTTTTTCTTTGTGTTCCTGAAGGTTCATCACATTCAGCCTCATTTGATTGATGAGAATTTTCTGGTGTTCCATTAATGCTTCTAATTTGTAGTATAACATATTGTCATTTTCAAGGATTTCTTTTTGTTGAAGTTCATGTTTCCTTCCCTCCAAATTTTCATCAGAAAAATTTGTTTGATCGTATATCGAAGTTTCATATGGTATGTATCTGTTTCTCAGAAAATTTAACTGTGTACTCTGCAGCTTTGGTGATCCCTCTTCTGTTCCTTTCTCTGTAGAATAATAAATTTCCTCCTGTAATGAATTTAGGCCTAGGAGTTTAGTGGTATCAGAATTTTGAGTAAAGTTATTTGTATTTCTTTCCTCATTGGTGCTAAAATTTGGAGTTGATTGCACCAGACTTTGATGATCCTGAATCAGCTGTATAATCTGTAACACTATAAGCTGCAGACGGGGATCCGATGATAAGAACTGGCTAAGTGATGACTGAAACAAATTTATGTAATGATGAGATGCTACAATTGTGTGACTATCTTGAGGAGGTGTGGTAAGTGATGACTCCATTGTTTATAAGACCAGCTGCAAGTAAAAATGTGCAACATGTAAGTAATATTTTACAACTTAGCATTATTATATATGAAAGCTTCACACTTTTCCTTGATGGGAGTGTAGGAGTAAGATAATATGAAGAGGAAATTTTTATAGTATTTCTCTTATATATTTGTAGTTATTTTAAATTCACGATGAAATCAATTTCAATTTCAGTGGATTCAGAATGAAGCAGGAAAGAAGCAAGCATAAAAGAGAAAATGAATTCATACATGTATTAACCATTTTATGATATTTAGTCTCAAAATTTATATTGTAGTGTAATAGAAGCATAGAAAGCAGAACACTAATGGTCAGATAATGTTATAGTATTTTATTATACATTTTAAGTCATGAATTCAATAGGATACTGTCAATAAAGTTGAGCAGTCAGGCAGCAGTTATAAAAATAAAAAAGAGTTTTATGTTGCATTTAATTATACATAGTTTCAGGAGGAAAAGTGCAGGAAATGAAATTCAAGTAATGAGAGCACTGACTCATCTATTTATAACACACCGTCTAGTCCAGTAGAAGTCCAGTGATGTTTTAGAGCAGGCATGTCCATCGCGATCGCGGGACGATTTTTGGGCGATCTCATAGGCCTATAAGGATATTATACGTGAAAAGCATGTAAATTCACTTGTAATATAATATGATTATATTCAGATTTTGAAGGGAAAATGCGTATCAGTCATTCCTATTTTTCTGTTCTTAAGGAACAAGGTAAGTCTGTACTTTCAATGTACGTATATTGCTTTTACAACAAGAATCGTGTCGTATTATTTTTACCAATATTTTTGCTTAAAGTGGGGTACGACGATAGGAGGGGGTGGTAGATCACTGGCAGTTTTGACATTAAAAAGTCGATCACAACCTGTTTGAAGTTGGACGTGCCTGTTTTATAGAATCCTAGTGATCTACCACAGTACACAGCATTACCTCCCAGGCAGCAATACACTTGATAGTCACTGCTCCGAAACCGTCATATCCAACATATTGTGACGTATTTGCGCTATGCCGGACACCCCCACCTCCGTCAGCGGTGAGGTAACACCCCGGCCCCTCCCGCGGTGACGTAACACGGGACGCCGCGGTTGCTATGCGGCAGTAAACAACTTCCAACGACTGTTCCTAGGCAGTCGGTAAACACGACGTTACGTAACAGTGGTGCTTATTACGTAACTGTTTTCTGTGTTGTCTGTAACGCGGCTAAATAAGGAGCAGCGAACACTATTCAACAGTTAGTTGGAGTCAGCAGTCAGTCAGTAGTGTGTGATCAGGAGTGACAGTTGAAATGTGCAGACAGTTGAATTGGAACCGTCGCCGAGTTCAGTTGTAGCGGAAAGAAGAATATCGGAACGTGTGATTAGAAGTGATAGTGTGAGAAGCAGATGCTTGGCTCACAAGAGAAGGTATTGGGAGTGTGGAATTTAGTGACACTTTTATGGCTCCCATATCTTACTGTGAATACGTGTAGACTGCTGAGGACAGAGTGGACAGATTTGTGTGTAGGGTTTGTAAAGTGTGGAAACCCGTAACATTGTTATAATGAATTGTAGCCAAGACTTGTAGATTGTTAAATAAACCAATTAACAATCCGAACGGCGTCTTCAGTGGCAAAAACACATTACAATATTAACCAAAATATTTCTCATAAAACATTCCATGTGCCATTGCAAAATAAATTTAAGTAATTCATATTTTTCTTTTTTATTACAACACTGTTATTGTACAATATTCTGATAGAGTTTTGGATACCCATGAAACTAGTTAGGTTGATTAAAATGTGTTTAAACGAAACATATATTAAAGTCCGTGTAGGTAAACATTTGTCTGATAAATTTCCTATCCAGAATGGTCTAAAACAAGGAGATGCTTTATCGCCACTCCTTTTCAACTTTGCCTTAGAATATGCAATTCGGAAGGTCCAGGGAAGCCAGGTGGGACTCAAACTAAACGGGACACATCAGCTGTTGGTCTACACCGATGATGTGAATCTACTGGGTGATAATGTAGATACCATAAAGAAAAACACACAAACTTTAATTGACACCAGTAAGGAAGTTGGTCTAGAAGTAAACACAGAGAAATTAAGGATATGTTGCTGTTTCATCACCAAAATGGAGGGCGAAATCATGACATATCAATAGAAAATAGATGTTTTGAAAATGTGGCACAGTTCAGATATTTGGGAATGACGATAACAAATCAAAACCTGATTCTGGAGGAAATTAAGAGGAGAGTGAACTCGGGTAATGCTTGTTACCATTCAGTCAAGAACCTTTTGTCTTCTCGTCCACTGTCTAAAAACATAAAAATTAGAATATACAAAACTTCTGTATAATTTTGCCTGTGGTTCTGTATGGTTAGTAAACTTGGTCTCTGACATTACGTAAGGGAAGAAGATAGACTGAGGGTGTTTGAGAACAGGGTGTTGAGGAGAATATTTGGACCGAAGAGAGATGAAGTGACAAGGGGTTGGAGAAAACTGCATGATGAGGAGCTTTATAACTTGTACTCTTCTCCAAGTACAATTAGAATGATAAAGTCAAAGAGGATGAGATGGGCAGGTCATGTAGCACGAATGGGGAAGACGAGGAATGCGTATAGGATATTTGTGGGAAAGCCAGAAGGAAAGAGACCACAAGGAAGACCAAGGCATAGGTGGGTGGACAACATTATAATGGATCTTAGAGAGATATGATGGGATGGTATGGATTGGATAGATCTGGCTCAGGATAGGGACCAGTGGAGGGCTCTTGTGAACACGGTGATGAATCTTCGGGTTGCATAAAATGCTGGGAAATTCTTGAGTAGCTGCAGAATTTGCGGCTCCTCAAGAAGGGCTTAGCTCCATGAGTAAGTAAGTAAGTAATTAAAACACTATTAATGTTTGTCTTTATAACCTCGTTTGACTTTGTACTGTCATCTAGACTTGCAATAATGCTTGCTGTATGAGAATATGTTCACAAGTGAAGTATGGGAACTATCAGCGAGTAAAATTATACCAATAGTTTTATATGAAGCTATAAATCGGTATAGCGATTGGCTACAAGCTGTACGACTAGGGGGCTCAGAGTTAGAGTCCCGGTAGAGTCAAGAATTTTCTCTTCTCCACGTCGTCTGGACCGGGTAAAGCGGCCGGGGCGTGAAGCTGACCACTCACCTCCAACTAGTGTCGAGGTCAAGAAAATTTGGGTCTATACATTCGCACCCCCCATACGGCTTCATGGCGTAGTGCTTAATTAGTTAAGCACAGGGACAACTTTACCTTTTTTTATTTTAATCTTTAGTTTCTTTTCTTATAGTAGGAATATAGAAGGAAACAATACACAAATGAATAAATAAATCATAGAACTGGCGGCTTTTATTCCCACGAAAGTTACGGGTTTATTTACAATTAAACCGCCTTGCGTGTCTCATGATACATTGAACTGTGAGCAGCAACACTCATTGTAATTTAGGCTGCCACCGTGATAGACGAGCCGGGGCAATCGCCGGGAGGGAATGCAATTCTCATTGAAAATTAAAGAATCCTACCTGACACGTCGAAACAGACGGAGTCACATTAGCAATGTACAGCCTTGTTAAGACTCGGGATTAACCGTTATTAACTCATATATTCTAGTGCATACGCAAGTTTGATTTCCCTAGGGAAAGGATTGATTACATTATCTTCGCGCTTTCTTCCTTTCATTTACCTCTTTAGTGCTTTTATTTCCACACCCACCTACCCAGCAATTTCATCTGCTGGAAATAGTGTTGTAGTTACTAAAGGATTCTGACGATGGTGTATAACACACAGAGATATTGGGTTTTCGGACTTTATCCATCGTCCTGGTTTTTAAGATAACTAAGAAAAACACGACGTTTCGGAAACTGGATCTGTTTCCGTCCTCAGGTGAGGGAAAACGCCTTTCTAAGAGACCCAACAGAATAGGTGTTTTCCCTCACTTGAGGACGGAAACAGATCCAGTTTCCGAAACGTCGTGTTTTTCTTAGTTATCTTAAAAACCAGGACGATGGATAAACCCAATATCTCTGTGGAAATAGTGTTGTATTGACAAAAATAATACAATAACTATCATCTCAAGCAGTATGTAAGACCTCAGCGCTTCTGTCGTTACGGATGTTTGGAGAAATAACAGCTGCAAAGAGCTATGAAAATGCTGCAACTGTGACAGGCAGCATCCAACCAGCTAGAAAGCAACTTTTCTGCCGTCCCTCTAGCACCCAGTACCCATTACATGGCATCTGCTTAGGGTCTGTCAGGAGAACGCAAACATGTGTCAGTTCCCCGAGATAGATCTGACCCGTCGGTCCAAGTGTTCGAGAGGAGTTTAATATAATTTCCTTTAGGTTCCCCAGAAAAATAATAGACATAGTTTCATATATTATTTATCACTTCTGTATTAAATGTGAGGTTATTTGACGTTGAATAAGATGAGAAGAACTGAAAATGATGTGTGAACATGCTGTCGTACCTTATGTCTGTATATTCCCTTCGAATGAAAAATGAAAAATACTAAAGATCTTTTAGTTCTATCTTCTGAGTGAGCCCACTGATCGAAACTCAGTGATGGACAATTTGTGTTCACGGTAATAAAACCGTCAGATTCGATAACAGAAGAGATTTATCGTCGTGGTAGAGTGGGTAGCATATCCCCTTCGTGTTTCGAGGGTTCCGGGCTCAAATATTTGCCCAGAGATCAGGTGAGGTTTCCGTATTTTTGCGCACTCCCTCCAGATTAATCCTGTAAAATATCTAAAATTAGGCCATGTCCTCTTCTTCCACGTCCTTTTCAGTCCACTATTCATTAATTATTCAATCATTCGCCGCCATGTAATCGAATATACCGATCGTATCGTTAAATAGAGCACACATAAGCATGGCCGAAACAACAGAAAAGGTTTGCTGATCACTTGAACAACGTTCACCGCTCAAAAATAAAACTCTTTGTCGTACGAGTAGTGTAGCTTGCATTGTGTCTGATAATGGAGTTAGTATAGTAATAGGCTATGGCCGTGGTTCGATTTCCAGAAGGGGTAAGAGGTTTTTCTCTACTCCACAGCCTCCAGACCGGCCCTGGGCACTAACCAACCTCCTCTATAGTTGGTACCGGGGGTTCTTTTTACGGGATGAACAGCCCGGCGAGTGAAGCTGATCATTCGCCTCCATTTAACGCCGAGGTCAAGAATGATGGAGCTATGTATCCAGTACCTCATACGTCTTCATGGCGTGGTGCTTAATTGTTAAGCAGAGGGACAACTTTTCCCTTTCATTTAATGGCGAAACATCACAATTACCACGGGTTTCGTGATATGTCAGTAACGCGAACAAGCAATTCATTTACAATTTAATGTAACAAAAATTTAGTTTTTTTCCCCCGAATAACGCAATATTATCGATATCTACGCTTTATTTGTTGAAAATAAAATCTGTCACGCTCAAAAGTTTCATTAAACTTTCAGAATATGGAGTTGACATATTTAAGCATGCTATTTCTGATTATAACTTTTACAATTCAGTTAAGAAAACTGCTTTAAGGTTCTTATATACTGCAGCCTGTATTTGTATACTCGTTTAGATTTAAGCGTTTTTAATATTATTCACTGTGTTTCAAATTTGGAAATTGTATAAATAAGAATATAATCACACACTTTTCTTTTTAGTGTGCCGTTTATAAAGATTTTAACCTGCTGGAAACAGTGGTTTTCTGTAGTTTTAATTACCTTTTGGTAATACATTGCACCAGAAATCAAGCAGTTTGCGGAGTATTTTAATTTTAAACGTGTTGCTGGTATCGTACTACCTACTTCTGTACCCAGGCCTAATAACATTGGAGTTAGGTGTACGTGAAAACAATATTATGTTTTACACTTACGAAATTGTGTAAGAATTCAACTTAAAATTATCACCTTCTTAGCCGTCACATTAAAATTGTTAGAGAAACTTAGAAACCCCGTATTTTTTCGTAAACGCTAAGAAGTACTGTGGTAAATACTAAGTCACGACTTGTAGTAGACTTGTAGACATATCTTTTAACTGTGTTAATATGAATTTAAAAAAAAAATCAAAACTAATGACCCGAAACTAAGTGTAATGTAATTTAATGGTGTTCAAATTACAAGGTGTAAATAAATATGTGTTACGACGCTCTGTCGTAGATAGATGGGTTCAATGTGATCATATTCTGTTAATACACCCACGTCCGGAAACGCTTTGTTTACGCGCTAGGGCCTCTGAAATGTGAAGGAGGACGCCCTTACCTCTTACCTCTGTGGCTTACTGGTGATATTTACCTAACATTTCTTCAAGAGACCTTACCCAAGCTGCTGGAAGTGGTGCCTTTGGAAGTCCGTCGTGAAATGTGGTTCCAGCATGATGGCGCCCCAGCGCACTGCACTAATGTCGTCCGTAAGTATTTGGATGAAACCTTAGGCAACAGATGAATTGGACGTGGAGGCCCAATAACCTGGCACCCTCGCTCCCGTGACTTGACTCCACTGGATTTCTTTCTCTGGGGGGTACCTGCAAAGCCTGGTGTACGAGACTCCAGTGAAGACACAACATGATCTTGTGGCAAGAATTGCAGTAGCAGCTGGAACCATCCGGGATATGCCGGGAATCTTTCAAGGAGTTCAGCATGACATAGCCAGGCAGTGCAGAACATGCAATGAAGTCAGTAGCCGCCATTTTGAGCAAATTTTGTAAACAAAACTACGATAACATCCACTAAAACTTAAGTATCCTCTCGGAAAAGGTTGTGACCCTCAGTGCCGAAGAGAAGCGTTTCCGGGCATGAGTGTATTAACAAAATGTGATCAGACTGAACCCGTTTATCTACCACAGAGCACTGTAACGTACATATTTATTTATACCCTATATACTTTAGCTGCCTAAAAGCTGTTGAATATGTGCTTAATAATTCACACCGTCGTGTTAGTATGTTCTCCAACAGGTAAAAAGATCTGAGAGCGAAACATGTAGATCGGCGTAACTTTACCGCTTGACTACCTCACTCTGTGGGGTTATGTCCTTCGATAGCTGATAATCGCTTTCTGGTAGTCAGAAGATTCCACGCTTTATACGGGACCCGAAGGCTTACTGCGGTGTTCATACGAGCCCATTCCTAGACCCTATCCTAAGCCAGGTGTTTTTGTAAGATTAATTTCAATATTATCTTCCAGTATATATTTAGATCACTCAAGGCCGCGCCGTAGCTCAAGCGGTTAGTCGCTGGCTTCCCACCGCGGCGGCCCGGGTTCGATCCCTGGTCTGGTCAAGTGGGATTTGTGGTGGACAAAGTGGCTCTGGAGCGTTCTCCGAGTACTTCGGTTTCCCCTGCTAATCTTCATTCCACCAATTGCTCCACAATCACCCTCACCTATCATCTGGGGCTGGTATAATAGGCCAGAAGTGGCCGCAGTACAAGGGGCTTAGTCCCACCCCACTAGCAATAAAAAAGAAAATATCACCCAAGCGGTATCAGCAGACTTCCATACAAAATTTTATGTGCATTCCACATTCCTCATTTGTGCTACATGGTATGATCATCCTAACAATATACACGTATGGTTGAGTACATATATCGAAACTCCTCATTATGTAGTTTTCTTGACGGTGTTTTCTTACTTGTACATAGTTTTGGATATTTTCCTATAAACTTGGTTCTCAAACATTCTCAGTCTATCTCTAGGGTCAGAAAAATGACCATATCTTCATAAAGCAACAGGTAAATTTATAATCATAGTTATGGAGAAGTCGTACCTTCACAGTCACATGTTCACTATCCTAAGCAATTCAAAAGGCTTTGAAGAAATTTGATACGGTTCTGCATATTAAAAATCATCGGATAGTATCAGCTTGACATCCGTTTCATCATAAACAGCTCATCGCAGAAATATAATGTAGATAATGAAGAAAGCAGTCTTCTGGGATTTGGCACCGTGTATATGTGGTGTTAACCGACGTTTCGGAGGAACGTATCGTCTCCATCTTCAGGGTAGAAGAAAAAATATAAGAATTCTGCAAACAGACACAGTCGGCTTTTACCGGTTCTCACGGTCTCTCCGCTTGCAGAATTCTTATATTTTTTCTTCTACCCTGAAGATGGAGGCGATACGTTCCTCCGAAACGTCGGTTAACACCACATATACACGGTGCCAAATCCCAGAAGACTGCTTTCTTCATAGTCACCGCCGTGAAAGCCTCAAATCTTACATATAATGTAGATGCTGTAAAATATAAAACTAAGTGCATATTTGACATGAAAGATTTTTCCGTGTAATGTAGTCCTTATTTCTGATGAATTTCAAACAACGATAATATATGCTACGGTATCACACATCTGTGCTGTGTATTACTTTTGCAATAACAAAATGACATGCAGTCAAATGAAATATGTAATGTCACAAGAACTCGTTTCATGAATTTCGATATCTATTACGGGCACAATCTTTGGTTGGTCTGATAACATATATCAAGCACAGTCACCTGTATCTGCGATTGTCTTGGATCGTTTTGGATGTGATTGCCCGAGTCCTTTTCAGTGAACATACATGAATGCGTGCCAGAACCAAAAGAACAGAATACTCACAGCAACACGAAACTGTCTCTGCAGCAGTATTGAGTTTGATCTTTTCTGCGGAACTGTTGGTGAAGAAGGCTGTTTAACTGACCACACACATACTCATATTACTGAAACGTAAAATCGTAATGGCCTTGGGCGTGATAAAAATTCAGGTTGATACTGCTCTGTATGTTCTTTGTCCTGTGTCTCAGGGCCGTTCAGAGGTACATATTGTCCCGCTGCCATTGAAATGGGCAGTTATACAGTTAAAACAACTGAACGCAACAAAGTATGAGACGAATATTATGAAATGGACTGATACTAAATTGTAGGTTATGTTATCAATTTCTTGAAGTAGTCAATGCACCAACTGCAAAAATTTAGCATTCAAGTGCAAGGGAGTTGCTATTAGGATATGCATCATGCCAGATAAGAGAATTGCACTAATCACTAGATCTCTTGTTAGGAAATGGAATCTAATAGCATTCTTACCCTGCTATATATTTTGATTTAATGACTATAGTAATACGAAATGAAAGCCATAAGGTGCTATATTAATCGGATAACTGAATCTGTAAGTCATGTATCAGAGTTATTTGCAAGATTTAGTATTACGCTTTGTCTCCGACTTGTATATGTACTCTTGATATTCATGAAAATAATTAGTACGCAATGCAAAAGTATGCGTTTTTAATTCATGTCTCAGTGAATTTAAAGGTGAAATTAAAAATAAAATACACATTTTGCTTGCGAAGTAGTTACATAACAAGAAGCTCTTTCAGTATTGTCAATGCAGCAGGATAGTTATCCATTCTTTCTTCCCAAGCGTCTTCAGCAGCTCAGCGTGTAGGCCTGTAATGTCGAGTAATTTGATTATTAGAAAACAATGAGTTGGAAAGGATGGGATAGGAGGCGGCCATGAAATGCTATCCCAGCATTTGCCTGTAGGGAGTAAGGAAAACAACCAGTGAGGACATCTGGTCTCCGGACCCCGTAACTTCCGAATACGAAGCAAGAATACTACTACCCACTCGACCACGACGTTTGGTATTTTAAGCCGAAATTCTGAAGGAGAGAGATCACTTGAAGACCTAGGCACAGATGTAAGTTAATATTAAAAAAAGGAAGGAATGTCGATGTTCTGGCCTCTGTGGTCTATTGGTTCCTGACTACAGATCCAGAGATCCCGGGTTCGATTCCCGGCGCTACCAGATTTTCTGAAAATTAATGGGAACGGAGTGCGCTCAGCCTCGTGAGAATAATTGAATAGCTACTTGAATGGAAAAGTAGCGGCTCCGGTCTAGAAAATCGAGAGTAACGGCCGTGGGGATTCGTTGTGCTGACCACGCGAAACTCTTTATCCGCAAAAGTTGGCACTAACTTCGCCGACAAGCGGCGGTCGTTCGGTCTGTATAGTTCGCTTGCGGACTCAAGCCACGGAGTTTGTTTTGTTTGTTTGTGTCGATGTGAAATGGATTTATCTGGCTCAGAATAGGAAGCACTGATCGGCTGTTCGTAACACGCTCTCGAACTCTGTTCGAGGGTTTTGATTTTGGAACGACTTCTTAGAAAACTTTTAGGCATAAAGTGCTGTGATAAAGCTTGAAACTGTTTAAGCGTACTCGTAAAAGAATAAGAAAAAAATCTGACAGTGACCTTAATAGGTCCAAACATGTCGTGGAGCTATCATATTAAAGACTGATAAAACAACACGCCAATAGTCCACGTCCACAAGGCTGCCCCGGGAAATTAAATAGTGCAACAGGGTGCTGAAGTACNGGTATGACTCACGGCAAATTGCAGCCGCGGCGCGCACTTGATTGTACGCACTGTATAAGAAAGATCTGTTCAGTAAGTTAATTTGCTTCAAACTTTTCGACAACTGTCAGTGTCATGTCACTTCGTTGGTACGGTATTTGATAGTCTCGTGGCCAAGCTGGTCCTTGGAACTAAGATTTTTGAAAATCTTGACAGTCCTCAGTAACTATCAACGTCTTATGTCACTTCTGGGGGGTGAACGTTTTTTATTTTGAAAAAATAGATGTACTACGAGTATATACAAAAATAGCCTCAGAAATGACTTTTTAATTTTGAAGAAATAAATGCATCTACAAAAATGTCCTACGAAATGCCCACGCGGCCCTCTTATAAACTCCATATTCTATCATAGCGGTCACCCCGCTGAAACGACTTATACGCAAATAATTCCAATTATTCACGAAAGACTAAGTAGTTATCTATGCTAGTGAGTCACAGGAATGAAGACTGGTTTAGCCTGTAATGCTATAAAGATATAGTCAAACGCATAATGTGCCGATAAGACTTAAATAGACCTTGAAGAAATATATTGCGAAGACACGAGCTGAATTGAAACAAGGAACATTGCCTAATGGCGAACTCTGGTGATGATGGTTATGAACTTCTGGATGGGATTAAATCTTCCGTCCTAGCGCTTTCGGTATAATTCGGCAGATGGCTGTCAGTGCGACTTGTCTGGTAGGGATTATAGGCGGTGTAAGGTGCGTAAGGTGGGTGTACTTTGTCGTACTTGGCGTTTGGCGCTATTGGTTAGTTCGCGCTAGTTAGTAATCTGTGGTGCATGTTGTGTTTTGAATGGAAAGTGTGGGGTATGGAGTTAAAACTTTTTATATTTTTGGCGTTTTAAGTCAGAGTTATTACGTATGTACAACTTTGATGGAAGATAGAGTGGATCACAATAGTCTGTGGTCATTATAACGTGAAAGAGAAAGTTCTTTGTATCCGATGGTTTGTATTGCCTGTTTTTTTCTGTAACGAAGTGTCCCTGTTCGTTCCAATACATATTTTTCTCACATTTCATAGGTCATTGCTCTCAAAGTGAAAAACAAACGTTCAGTAAATTAGTGGCCTATGAAATAATTAAAAGTAAACTGTGAAAGAATTTAGAATAGACCGTTTGTGTTTTGTTTAATATAATATTTGGAATGCAGTTGTAGTGATATCCACCAAAGGATGAACCCTAAGCATTAACAGATCTTACCAGGAAGAAGGACATACGTTGACAATAAGTGAGACAGTAATTAAAGCTTACTGTTTAAATTTCAGCCCATAGATGAGACATGGAGGGTAGGACATCACTTTTCAGGGATTTGACTTTGAAAATTAAAACAGAACCCCCAGAAAACTCAAGTTACAATGAAAGAGTGTTCTTGTCTACAGAGAATGTGACAACAGGCATCAGTAAAGAAAAGTTGGAAGAACTGACTTCTCTTAGAACTGAGGTAGAGAAGTCATGTGGTAACTATTTCCAGTGTCGTCTCCTGTTATCGGCAGTTAAAGAAGTTGCATGTGAAAGTACTTCAAAATTTCCGTTGATTAATCAAAAAGTTCACCAGATCATTGCATCAGAGGAGGTGGCAAGGCTTGCAGACCTTAATTTTGGGGAAACTAATCAGTTACCTGAACCCTTGATGATTCTTGGTTTGGATGACAGTCATAAGTGTGGCTCAAGTACTGTGCTGTCTTATAGTGAGAAGATTGACCTGAAGTCTGTTGTAGAGGACAAACTTTTAAGGAAATGTTCCAGAATTCAGGATTGTATGTGGAATGGAGGTAATGTTATTGTAATGAGAATAGAATTATATAGTTGAATTAAAAAAAAGTGCTGTAACAATATCCATCCAGGTGTTTTTTAGTATGGGACCAAATCTTATGTTTCTTCTCTTTGGATTTGATACCAATTAGTTTTGTTGTAGAGAAGAATATTAAGTACTGAGTATTGACATAGCGGGGACAACTTCTCTTTGCTCCAAGCGGTCAGACCACTACGGGGTGCACTGTGCACCCCTGCTTTCACCTGGCCTCTTCAAGAGAGCCCTCTGCTGAAGTGCCAAAGCCATAACCTGTTTGATTGAGGCCCCACTAATACATATCGTCTTCAACCACGCAGAGCCAAAGATTTATGCCCAACCAGAGCTGGGCTTTAACGTAGTATGTGGTAGGTGGATTTTTCTTGAGTGTAGTGTCATCTGAGAAACCCATTATCAGTAGGTGCCATGTTAATGTACAGTAGCCAGTCAGTGGTCCTGTTACCACTGTACACCGTTTCCTGTCCAAGGCCAGTAGGTCTCCTAGACAGGTTACCCAAAGGCCTTTCAGTGAAGACTGAAGAGAAGAGTAGAATGGATTTGGGACAGAAAATGTTTACATAATGATTAGATTCATTTGATATATGAGTAAAGTCATGAGCAACAGCTATTCACTAATAATATTTTAACTTAAGTGCTTATTTAGTTGTCTGTATTCACATAGAAATGTTTTTGGAGCATCATTTCACTGTGAAACAAAGATGTAAAACCTGGACTCTAACTGAAGGATCTCTTTCTGTTATAATGTATTTGTCCAGGATAGCAATGTTTTTGTTTTGAGTCTGCAGTATGGCAGTTCCTCCTTCACTTAACCTTCTTGGTGAAATTATATTGGTCAACTTCTTGTTCTTGGTTCAGAGTATTTTTATTTATTTTGTTTCTCATTCCTTATCAGACTGTTCATTCTAGCTTACAATTAAAGGACATATTTATTTCAGCACCCTGTTACACTGGTTATTCATTTAATTCACAGAAGCAGTCTGGGAGGTGCAACTTCTTGTTTTGTTCATAGACTAGTGATATGTTGTGTTGTATGTTGCTAAAACCTGGTTAAAATTAGGTCTTTGTGTCACTTTGTTTAAAAGAAATTAAACCCTTTTTGCTTTTTGAACAATATTTTATGTTCCTTATGCTTGGTTGTTTCTTGAATTTAAGCGTGGATTGTGTCTATGAGTGCAAAGTCCTGTTTTAACATTAAGTAGCTATGTAGTACATGAAGGGCATTGACCTTCGGTATGATGTAGTTTTCTGTGAACACATAATGTAATAAGATATTTATGTTTATTATGTAATGTAAGGATAGAGAGAGGGAGAGATAGCGAGTATGTGTGTAAACACAGACACCCACACCAGGTGTAATTTTTGTGAATTGAAATGGTTATTGGAGGTGCTGTGTTTGTTGCTTATATAGTGTTGTGTTGTGAGTATGTGCAGAATACTTTGAGCCACTTAACATTCCCTCCCTCATGGAGCTGAGACCTTCTTGAGAAGCTGCCAATTATGCAGCTACTCAAGAACTTCCCAGCGTTTTATGGAACCCAGATCAATCCAATCCATACCATCTCATCCTATCTCTCTAAGATCCATTTTAATATTGTCCACCTACCTACACCTTGGTCTTCCCAGTGGTGCCATTTAACAATATTATTATTTATATTCTTAAAAGTATAGCTTATGTTACAATTTCCTATGAATTTATATGTGTCAACAAACTACAGGTTCATCGTTCATTAACATTTTACATGTGTTGTGTTGCAGCCTTATATCTTTGTTTAATATGAGACTTATTCTAGTCATGAGTAGTGTGCATCATGCATTTCATTTTTATAGACAGTTTATTGTGAAGAACTGCAAATTGTGTGGGTCTTTGTATGTCACTATGTCTATATTGCATATCCCCCTAATAGATTTGAACCAGCTGATGGCTTTCAAGGAAACTTGATATGATGCTATTAGAGGCAGTCTGTCCATGGCATTAATCATATTGACATGGCAGCTGTTTGTGCTTGTGGTGTGGGAGCTACCATAGTGCCACTTAATGTACNCAGCTGATGGCTTTCAAGGAAACTTGATATGATGCTATTAGAGGCAATCTGTCCATGGCACCTTTTCATTTCTTAGTATTAATCATATTGACATGGCAGCTGTTTGTACTTGTGGTGTGGGAGCTACCATAGTGCCACTTAATGTAAGGTCTTAAGAAGTTCTGGAATTGTATGTGGTAATAATGAGATCTTTGAGAAGTATGTAGTTCTTATTAAAGGAAGTTTTTTGTAGAATATAAAAAAGAGCAAGGTTATTGTGCAGAATGTACATTTAGATTTTGATCTAATGCCATGACGAAGACCTGTTAGAGGTAGGTGTATGAAATTTTGTATGCAGATAGAACAAAGGCATGCCTTTTTTATGTATGAAATGTTGTTTATTTGTGAGAAATTATAAACATGCTGATGGTGGAAAATACGTCTCAGAGGTTCTTACTAGAACATCTTGTTTTCTTCCAAAGCATTTACAGTATGAAAGTGGATGAAGGATAACCTGTTCTGTGGTAGGGTGAACCACAGTGGAATGTAATGTCTGAAGAGTATAGTCCTCTGAGTTGTAATGCTGTGTAGTTCAGAGAAAGCCCAATTTTTCAGGCAGAAACAGGCTTGCAAACTTGCTGCCTGCTTCTGCTTGTTTCTTGCTTCACTTAACCTTTTATCTGAAGATGGAGGTGCTATGTTCCTCCGAAACATCATGCTTTCTCCATCCTACAAAGTGTTAAAACCCAGAAGTCTATAGTCACCACTGTGAAAATCTCAAATGAAATATACTCTCTAATCATTTTTTCCCTCTCACTCCCACTTTGGAGCAAAGGGCTGATTTCTCAGTTTCATTTATCATTTTTACAGACGGTAGGACTCCTTGGATGGGTGATCAGCTCGTTGCAAGGCCTTTACCTAAACACAGGACAACACAAACAATAATTGCATACCCACCCCAAACATCCACGCCTTATGTGGGATTTGAACCCACGATCCCGGCTTCCAAGCAAGCGAAGACAGTACATGCCTTAGACCACTCGGCTACCATGACTGGCTCTCTGATCATTAGGAATATGTTATTAGAAAAATGTATTATATTATGGTATTAGACGATCATACCACAGCATGCAAACAAAGATAGATCCAGAATTTGTAACTGAATGCATGAATTGAAATTTGGATGTTAGAATGTGAAATAAATGTTTTTAATTCATAAGTCCATATCCAGTATGTGCCTGATTTATTTGCTAGCTGTGAAAGAGTGACATAAATATTATATTTTAGCGTCATGTACAATGCACACAGTAACAGGAGCAAAACACAACACAGAACACGATACACAAATGTATGTAGGAAGAATGCTCACATAAAAGAGGACTGGCGTAATTCGCGTGTTTGAGTGCGACGTAGGATGAATCCTGAAAAGCTTTATTATTTAGAATTCATCGACATATATGACGAATACAGATTTTAGTCATTTTAGAATGAAGACATCATGGCATGCAGTACAATAGTTTAACGTGCATAAAGACACCTGAGGATGGCACATTAGTGCTGAAACATGTAGTGTGGAAGTCAAGAATAAGGTGAAAAAGTGTATACACTGTAAGACGGTTAGCATTACCATGGAGTGACATAAATCAACATTCAGATGCAGGCCTCCTGTTTATGGTACTGTGCTTGGAGTTGGCCAACACTCTTTATTTTAATTGGCTGTGGTGAAAAGGAAAGATCACTCAATAGAAAGGAAACTGAACCTATTAGCCTAGAAGATAGAGGAGTTGTGTTATATCAAAAGATTCTTTTTTCTTTTAGGAAAGGAGTTGTCACAGAAAATGAGAATTCATAAGGATATTCTTTCTTCTGACAAATTTGAGTTTGTAAGATCAGCACATTCACAGATTAAGGAGTGGTATGAGAATTCATTGGCAGTCAGAGGCCTCATAAAGGAACTGGTTGACATGCGGTTGGCACTCTCAGAGACCATCAGGATAGAGGCAATCCCATGGTTTGAAGCCAAATGTGAAAGTTTGGAACTTGAGGCAAAGTAAGTGGAATTGAATTACTAATACATTGCAGGATTTTGTGTCAAATGTAGGAAGTCATATTTTCTTTCAACTGGAATATATATATTGTCACTTGTTAGTGACTAGACACCACGTTTGGAGTGAATAATAAGATTTATTGAGTGCTTATAACTTGTAACTTACAGTCTCACACATTTACACACTCAATAAATCACTACAGCTACAGCATACACAAAGTCTTCTGTTTTTCCGTCATCACTACATGTTGCTAGGTAACTGCTGCTGACACTGGAGATTCCTCACAACCAACAGTGAACCTCCACTGCTCGCTTACAACTCATGACTAACTGCTAACCATAAACTCTGGCCTCCATCAGACTAACTTCAATCCAATCCAGCAAATTGCTGCTGGCCTTTGCCAGCACAGTTGTTCTTGGTTTCAGGCCCCATTGGGACCCCTGACAATATTTTTCGTTCCTTTGAGACTTTTATGAATTTTTAAATGGGGCCTTCTCTTTGATGAGAGGAGGTGTCTGTTTATTACTGGTCATTCCTCTACTGCTGGGGAGTTGCCTGCCACTGAATAACAAACCAGACCATTTCAATAAATTGCTGCTGGCCCTCACCAGCACAGCAGTTCTTGGTTCTGAGTCCCACATGACTCACTGACTCCTCAACTGACTACATTTTTCCATTAGACTTCGCTGTATAGTCTCTGCATGGATTGCATAGAAAACACTGCTTACAACCGTTTGTCTGTTGTTGCGTGTGGATTCTTTGCTGCAGAAAGTGTTTACTACACCATTGCCTATCACTGTCTGCCTGTACTCATTCCACTATACAGGCTTTCAGCTGTCATGTCCCGCACGTCATACAGCATGCATTTAGATTCATTAAAATTGAGTTGCACAATTTTGATAGTGTAAGTCAAATTACGAACTGAACTGTGTGAAATAATGTCAGTTTGTGGGTATATTTATTCAGTATTCTAGATTTTTAAAGTTGTGCATGAGGAAACCATGTTAAATGTTTTTAAAATTACAACCCAAGTAAATTCCTTGAAATTTTCACAAAACTGCATCTTTTCCTTGTAAGTTAAATATTTTGACTGTCATCTGATGTACTTTCATGTTTGTCAAAATACCTAGCAGCCCAAAAGACAGAAGTTTCGCAGATGTCGCACATATCAGTGGATGGATGAATGTATAGGGGTGTGTACAGCTATTGCTGTGCAATAGGTGAATAAACAACAGTGTTATGCAACCTGTTTATAGGCATTGGATCAGTAAACATGTTCCCACAGCAGTGAATACAAACACAATAGAGTTACTGTAGGGAATGGTGTTTCCTACTCGGTTCGTTCAAAGTGGTTATAAGGAAGACAACCGGGGTAACTCAGTTAGTGAGTAGTAGGCAAGAGTGAGTCAATGAGTGAGTGAGCACCAGCAGAGTTACTCCCCAATAGAGGGGGAGTGACCAACAGTAGTCAGACCCCTACTCTCTTTGAAAAGGAGGCCTCATTTCAAAGCATGTGAAAGTCTGGAAAGAACAAAAATATGGTCATGGGTCCTGATAGGGCCCAAAACCAAGAACAATTGTGCTGACTAGGACCAGCAGCAATTTACTGGACTGGACCCAGTTCGTTGTCAATAGTCAGTTGAGAGTTGAGTTCTGCATAGGAGGCTGTGAAGATAGAACCTGAGTGAGTGAAGCTGAAGAATCTCCACTGTTCAAGCTGTTTCCAGGGAATGGCTGATGAAGACACAGCAGGCTGCATAAAGTCTTAGCAGATGCTGTGGTGATTTGTAAAATGTGGACATTAGCAATGGTGCTGTAAGTTCTTGAAGTTCTGAGTCAGATGTATGAGTGGTCAATATTTCTGTTCACCAATCCATACCCAGTCTATAGTCACACACATACATGTGACAGTATATTTAATTTGATTTATGATAATTTTCTTACATTCATGTAACACATATTCATTCATTCATCAGTAATCTGTCAGATGACAGGTCCACAGTCTCTTCCAAAACGGTTTCTCCACTTAATGCGATCTTCTGTTTTTGCAAAGAGACTATCCAGGAATAGTGATAATGTGGTAGTTTTTCCATTTGCTTTCCACATCGCAGTAACACATATANGCTTTTCTGTCATGTAAGATAAAAATGAGAATGTGTTATTTTATGTCAGTTTAATGAACTGTGAGATAACCCATTTCAGCTTTGTTCATGTTATAAGGTTATACATTACACATGTTTAACATAATTACTGGCATTTTTTCACACGAGTGTCATGAGTTTCTAAAATTCCTATGCTATAGAAGTTTATTTTCATGTTTTTGAACCACGTGTACACACATTTGTCAATTAACTGGCACTACAACATCTGTTTATTATTAAAACCTTGTATGACTGTTGTTTGTACCAAAGAGACAGTAGTCTGAGGTGGCTTCTGAGGACTTTTGCTTTTATAAGACACTGATGCTCTTCCAAAATTTGCTCATTTACCCCTTGATTATAATAAATTTCCATCCTCTAATGCTCTTTGAAGTTACAGTTTTATCAGTTCTTTCCACAAAGGAAGACCATAAATATGGCTCAGTAGACCTACGTGTAGACCAAAAGATACTTAGGGTTTCCTTTGAGTCAAGCATATGAAAAGTAATGTAGCAGTTCTGCAGCACAGTTTTCTTAGATGGTCGACCAACATTATCACATAAATTAATTGTGAAGTACAGGTGAAAACTGCTCCATACAGTCTAATCGTACCCTCTCATACTGTTACCCAAAGTTTCATTTTGAAAAGATGTCAGGGGCCTAGACCATTTTATATAGGAGTCAGTGTAATCATCATAAAATTAGGAAAGAGTCATTTATTGCATAGATATCTTGACACTCAAATGAAATTTGATTGATCCAGTGACTGATGAACAATGACATGTGCATCATACATGTTGCTGGTTTTATTTTGCACCATTTTGCCTGATTTGTAGAACCACTTCTGGTATAATGAATATTGGTTCTAAAGATGTTCTTCATTGTTTATTAGCCAAATCCAAACAGTTGATATCATAGTCATAGTGATGTGAATTTTTATCCTGCTTGGTATCATGAATACAATTGGTTTGTAAAATAAGCAGTTTCTGCAGTCAGTCTGCTGACTTCCATCTACTGTGATATGATGCCGTACAGGCTGGTAGAAGTTCACTGATGTTTAGGAGGAATGTATTGCCTCCATCTTCAGAGTTGAAGAGGAAGTCAAGTAAGCAACAAACAAAAAGCTCTGATCCTGAAGATGGAGGCAGTACATTTCTCCAAAACTTCAGTAAACTTCTACCAAGCTACATGACATGAATTCACATCCCAGAAGCTAGTACACCTTTATAGTTATTATTATTATTATTATTATTAGAGGGGGTGGGTTTCCCCATGCACTTAGACCAGTTATTGGTCCATTGTGCGTCCCCCTATAATTTCTATTGTCGCCATACCCTACCGGTACTGGTGCGTGCTGTCAGCCCCGTTCAGCCGAGGTTGGCCCTCAGTACCTGCCACCAGAGGCATTGGAAACTACTTGGATGGGAAACTTGTTGCCTAATTTTGCTCAGAGGTCTCCTAGAGACATGAGGATCTTTTATGTGCCATATATCTATGACACGGGACCCACAGCTTAAAATCCCTCCCGGAGGACTTGTTCCCTGAATTTTTCTGCCCTTAAAAATTCCACGACCTCCGCCGGGTTTGAACCCACGTACCTTGAGTTATGAGGTGGGAACGTTACCCCTAGACTACAGAGACCGCTCACCTTTATAGTTACTGCAATGAGAACCTCAAATCCAAAATTTATTATGTTAACTTTTGCAAGTGTCCAGTTGTGTACCTAAGAACATTTGAATTATGGCTTTAGACCACCGAATATTAGTATGGCAGTTTATAACTTATTACACCTTTCAGCTTTTCCCTAGGTTCATTCTGTATTGTAATTACAGACCCATTGCTTTATTTGCACTCTTATTTGGGGTGTTATAAGAGTTCTTTCATGTTCTTTTGTTTCTAATGTTTCTAACTTTTTTTTTTTATATAATTCCAGGATTTTGGAGCTACAAATTTTGGTTGACATACTCAGTGAAAATCCAAATATGCCTGAAGCAATGAAAAAAATTGATGATTATTCACATACTCTCTATGGAGAAATGGAATTGGAGCTGGAAAAACTTAAGAATGATGAGATAATTTACGATAAACTCACAGGCACAGAATATTATGATGTATTAAAAAAATATAAACGGTTGAAGCAAGAGTTAGATAATAAAACATTGATTTTAAATGAGTTATCATAACATGTTTATGGTAAGAGGATTACAGTCTTCTGTGTTGCAGTGCCATGTAATTTGGAAAAGGCCTGACATTTCAGAGAAAATACTGTCTTCATCTTTGGGGTTGAAGGGTGAGCCGAGCAAGAAACCAACAGGAAGCAATCGGCAAGCCGTCCCCCTATAATTTCTATTGTCGTCATTCTTCCTACTGTCTTCTTGCTTGACTCATTCTTTGTCCCTGAATGTGAAAGCAATATGTTCCTCCAAAATGTTTGGTCATTTCAGAACTGCGAAGCTTTACAATCCAGGAGACAAAATTCTTCATAGTCCCCACTGTGAGAACCTCAAATCTAACATGTTTATGTTAATTTACTGAGTATAACTTGACTAGTGCTATGTAAGATGCCACTTCCTCACGCTGTTTCCTTACTCGCGTATTTTTATGCCCTGAAGATGGAGGCGATACATTCCTCCGAAACGTCGGTTTACACAATATCTACACGCCACCACATCCCAGATAACAGTATTCCAAGTTTGTCCCTGCACTGAAAGATGATAAATTGGAGTTGTAAAGTATATCCACCATTTTTATGTCATGCTTGAAGACAGAAAATATTCTGAACAGTACTCTGTCCTAAACAGAGTACAGTAATTTGTAAATGACTATTGGTCACTTCCCTTCCAGTTTCTTGCTCATATCATTCCATATGACAGTAAAGAAAGCAGTCTTCTGGGATTTGGCACCGTGTATATGTGGTGTTAACTGTCAAGCAGTCTGCTTGACCGTGTCTCACGGTGTTGTCGCTTGCAGATTTACTTATACTTCTTCAACCCTGAAGATGGGGGCGATACGTTCCTCCGAAACGTCGGTTAACACCACATATACACGGTGCCAAATCCCAGAAGACTGCTTTCTTCATAGTCACCGCCGTGAAAGCCTCAAATCTTACATATGACAGTAGTTTAACCCAAACAACTCAATAACATTTAACTGCATTCACATAACAGAAAATTAATTTAGGTTGCATATATATAAGCCATTTATGTACTGCTACATATATTAATAAAGAAAAGGTTTAGTACCATTTTCAGAGCAAGTAAAATAGGGCATATTATTGTTAGCTGTGCCCAACAATTATGTCAGGACATCATAGTAAGAATGCCTGAATACAATCCCTTGCATTGAAATAGTTAACATGCTTCAAACACCTCAAAATCAGATGTTATACCATGTGCAAATTTAGACATTTGTGCAAGTAATGTATTGACCCAGCCACAGCTAATGAACAGCAAATGCATTTACTGATTATAACTATAGAAAATTTAGCGTAAGCATCAACTGCGTGCTGTTATACTGCCATACAGTTCAATCTGATTCTTTTAAATTTGTTCACTTCTTGTGAGATTTCTATCAAAACTGTAAACACTACAAGGACTTGGTCTGAGGCATTAGAACATGTCTGGAAAGTATACTGTTGGGCTCTAAGCAATTGATTAAAAAATCTTTTTCTCTAAGTACTGTAGGAAAAATTGTGATGAAATCTTCAGTTCAAAATCTCTTTGCCAGTTACACTCTTCCAGCTAGCTTGTAATTCTGCCTCAATGATCAAATAAAATTTTTCTGCTTATTGTTCTTGAAAGATGCTCTCTTCTTCTTCTTCAAACCTCCATTTCTTTGTTTTACCATTTTCAGCCATATATTTTTTTCAGAAAAATGAACAGGTTCACATATGATGTGGACATTTAATAATTTCTGCATGACAGCCTTATGAATTCTTAGTATTATAGTGAGCTCCAGCTGCATTTACAGGTAACAATGCACAGCAACAAAATATATCATGTAAGATTTGAGGTTCTCACGATGGTGACTATGAAGAATGCTGGCCTCTGGAATGGGGCACCATGTAGATGTTGTGTGAACCAACGTTTCGGAGGAGCATATCGCCTCATCTTCAGGCTTTAAAAAATCCGCAAGCTAGGAACCAGTGTGAGCAGGTAGCTGCAGACAGTACCAGTCAGGCACCCTGAAGATGGAGGTGATACATTCCTCCAAAATGTCGGTTTACATAATATCTACATGGTGCCACATCCAAAAAGATGACATTCTTCAAAATAAATCATGTTCTCAAGGTCACGGTACAAACAGTGAAAAATGAGTGTGGTTGGAAACTGAAAACTTTGAGCTACAGCTAGCAATTGAACAGTTATTTTGGCTGGCATTAAACACAGATGTCGCAGTTTAATTCTGTGGCTGTAAATCACTACAATTTCTTCTGGCAGTTCATTTTATTCTAGGAGCCATGGGATTTAGAAATACAGACATTGGTTTACCAAGAACAGCAATTTAATATTAACATATTTATGTATGTTAATGTACAATAGATTAGTTGTGTATTGGACCGAGGAAAGAAGTGAATACATTGTCACTTTTCTTATCTTTTGTGTTTGTAGATTTGTAAACCAATAACATTTTTTCTCTTATTTCTATGTACTCATTGGAAATTACATAAGATAATCAGTCTGGAGAATTCAGTGTCATGTTATTTATATACTCATCTGGTATTTATATGTACTTCAGCGTTTCCTTCATCCTTTCTAAAACTAAATGAAGACAATAAGGAAAGGGGATTGTTATCTATCCAATCTAATGACACTACGGGCCATTGGGGCCCAAGGCCAAATACTTTGTTTTCAGCCATCACATTTACCAGCCTTTGACCTCTAGTTTTGACAGTGTAGCAGGTTTTGGTTGCCGTACACTAAGAAGAATACAAGAAATTCTTCACGTTTCTGGAAACCAAAAGTTCATTTCACTGTAGCCCCAAGGAGGTGGCCATTGAACACTGTTATGAGCCAAATGAATTCAGCGCACACCCTCATCTTAAAGTGACATTTTTAACATGCTCATATTGTATGGCGAGGGATTCTTAGTCCCACACCCAAACCCCATTCTGGAAGATTACCTCTTGTTAAGTAGATTCTAAAGGGTTCCGATGATGGTGGATGGCAGTGTAACAGGACACTAAAATGACTGTCATTTTCCTGTGTTGACATGCATTCCTGTTTACTGATTTCGTGTTATTCTCTGTCTGTGAAGAGAAGACTAAGAGGTTGGTGTGAATTGGCCGCTAGCCTGGGAACCAGTCAGTTGAGTTGTCAGTTCACAGGAATTCTGGCAGATAAAAAAATATTGAAATAAAATCTTCAGATTCACCCCGAAATACCTACTCAAACTGGGGAACAATAAAACATGGAGTTCACCAGGGGTCAATTTTACGGCCTTTCTTTTCATAATCAATATAAATGATCTGCATCCTACACTAAACACCTCATCGATGCCCATGCTATTTGTTGATGACACTAGTGTCATTTCTAGTAAAAATTTAGATCATGTCCATGTCCAACGCATCAATCGCGGGACAATTTTTGGTCAATATCATAGACCTATAAGGAAATTATATGTGAAAAGCATGTAAATTCACTTGTAATATAATATGATTTATTCAGGTTTTGAAGGGAAAATACATATTAAAGTAGTCTGTACTTTCAGTGTATGTTGCTTTTACAACAAGCATCATGTGTCATGTTAATTTTACCAATATTTTTGTTTAAAGCAAGGTATGACGATAGGAGGGGGTGGTAGATCACTGGCAGTTTTGCCACTGAAAAGTCGATCACAACCTGTTTGAAGTTGGACATGCCTGATTTAGATGATGTCTGCTTGCTATCAAACAAAGTTCTCTTTCTATTCTTCTAATTTCCCCCTGAATCGAATTTTGATGTGATTCTGTCATACTAAATATTTGAAATGTGTCACATTTTCAAAGGATCTATTACCTATCTTTATGTTATGATATTGTCCTGCATTCTGGTGATGAGATAGCAACATGGNAAAGCTCTAGATCGCATTAAGTGGAGGAATTGTTTTGAAAGAGACTGTGGGCCTGTCGTCTTGACAGATTACTGATGATGATGATGATTATCTCCCAATAGATTTACATTGTCAGCATAGACCAGCAGGTGATGTGTTCCATTTAATTTCAGGTCCACCTGGTTTTCTGGTATCTTCCTAATGTCATACTCTAAAGCAAAATTAAAAAGCAGTGACCATAAAGCATCTCGTTCTAGACCTTTTTTTTCCTTGGCACTACAGCCCCAGTTGGCCTAGGCCTACCTCCATGAACTTCTCCGTTCACTTCGGTTTTCCTAGATCTTACACATTCGATAGGACTTCTTGGGCGGGTGATCAGCTTGTCGCAAGGCCTCTACCTGTACACAAACACAGAAAAACACAAACTAAACAACCATGCCCTGAGTTGCTTTCGAACCCACTATTCCGGTTTCCAAGCGAGAGAAGACAGTACATTCCTTAGACCGCTCGGCTACCGTGACCGGCTTCTAGACCAGTGTTCCGCAACCAGTGTGCCGTCACAAGGTGAAAGGTGTGACGCGAACTTTTACCTATTGTAAGAAATTAATTGTCGAATTTAATTAGTTTTATTTCATCCCATTTACCGTGTTTCATATGCTTGTATTTTATTCTCAGCCACTGCACTGATTAAATAAGATGATGCTTGTTTATTCTTTATTGCATGCCGTGATTTTTTATGTACAGTAATGTTGTATTCTAAGAAATTAAACGTAAATATT